ACCAATTGGATAGTTCTTATGGACAGAATGGATTTTGCAATCGTAGTCGATGCACTTTATAAAACGTAATTTCTATTATTATTTTTACATACAATTCCACTTCACCAAAGTTAAAGAAAGTTGTATGAAACTGAATAATATGCATATACTTTATCTAATATTAGTATAAAAGCATAAAAAACTAATTTAGCCAGTTAGTTGTAGAAATTTATGATTTTTTAGAGGGGCTGGGGCGCCTCATATGCTTGCCCAGGTATTTACATATCTAACTCTGTAATAATTCCATGTATTTGATGAGGGCCACCGGCCATATATCAATAAATTTCTATATATTCTATATGCTTGCCCAGGGCGCCAAAATCTAAGATCGGGCACTGCATGAAAGGTTTAATAGCAAAATTTTAAAGATTACTAAAAGCTCAAACCAGTCTTTACTTGAGAAAAATTTGTCAAAAGTCAACAGCAAAGAGCTTAGGGCATGATCGGAATAATTAGCCAAAAGATAAAGGACTAATATAAAGGGTGTAAATTTATTCCTGTAACATTCATTTTTCGGCCCCCGATAGAGCAAGAACTATTGATCCCGTCAATATTTTTCATTGACATTTTTACTATGGCTTCCCACAAGACGGGATAAGACAAGATTATACATACGTCTTGTCTCATCTTGTTACTATCTACGGGACGAACTTGCAAGACAAGACGAGCCCAGTTTCCGTTTGTCCGAATTTTTTAACCAAAGTCAAGATTTTTCAAAACGCTGTAACTTTTCCAATTTTAACCCGATCACAATAAAATTCAATTTATTAGCATTTGATATGACCATGAGCCCTCATCAATACAATATTGCTTAATAAAACAAAATGAGAACAAATAAATACTCCGTGGGTAATCCGATTACAAACATTAAGGAACACAAATAATACTTTACTAGAAACTTTTAAAATTTGAAACTTGGATGCTTTGGTTAAAAATACGACACAAAGGGCATCCACTAAAATACACAACTGTAGATATTTTAATTTGTGTGCGGTAACAATTTAAAATTCGTCCGATTAAAATTGGAGAAAACAATTTGGTGCTAACATACATACGTACGTACTTATATTGTAGCGTGATTTTTTAGCAGTTTTACAACGCTTACAAAATCTTTTCGCTGTCGTACCTTATTTTTTGACACAGAAAATACTAAGGGCACGAAGGAATAACGAATTCCTATAATGTCTAACATATAACTTCATACGTAACTTATTTTTTTAATTTTTTGCAAATTTTAGCGATTTTTCAGTATTTTATTTTTATTTTTCCGGGCTCTGGGGGGGGGGCTCAAGCCCCCCTAGCCCCCCCTTGGCTACGCCGCTGCTTCGTACATAAGTCCGTAACCACGTAAACTCACGAAAGTTACGAACTTTAGACTAATTTTATGTGGGAGCAATAAGTAAGTACATGCATACATATATGTAACTTAATTTTTATTTACAAAGCCATACGGAGATAAATAGAAGGCAGGTTTTGGTTCATAACCTGATCTTCGTAAGCTTCGTAAGGCTTGGTTAAGGCCTAACGAATGCTGACGTGCATTGCTTCTATATAAAATTTATCAATACAGATATATATATTTAGTTATACATACATAAGTATGTCTACTTTCAGGGTTAACGTTTGTTATTATTTTAATATATATTTATAAATATGCAGATACATATACTAAAAGATTAATAATCGATGTCCGCTTACGTAATTTAACAGGGCATCATTCAATTTGGAAGTCCATACATATCAGTTGGAATTTAAATATTGATAATATTTAATATCCTGTCGTCAAACAACACTCAGACTTGAATGTGTCTGATAGCTAAATTGGATTATTCTCTTAACATTCATCATGACACATGTAGGGTTGGTATTCTTACCAGGGTTTTATAAAGTTTTGCTTGTTCACACTTAAGGGGTACCATATCACTAAAATCGTCTGGGTTTTTCGATGGTACCTGGACTTTCAATATGGCCAAGGAGTTGTATGTAAATATACGCCAAGAATTGAATTTGTTTTCGCAATTTGAAAGAGAAAAATCGCTCCGTTTAATATGGGCATCAAATCAACAAAATTATGTAGTAAAGCAGTATCTGGAATACAACCTCAAAAAAACTGGATTAAGAGTTTCGAACAGTTGTTAAAATTTGGCAATATCGTAAACTCTGTACCGCTAAGATTTGATGGAAAAGTTCAGGTAATGAACATCTAAATCAAGTGTTAAATATTTCTCTAAAATGTCTTACGATGGATGCCTCCCAGTGAATTCTCACCGATTTCGGCCAAATTAGCCTCAATCGATCAGAGTAGCAAACGCGACTTAAACTTAACACAAGTTTTTCATTTTCAAAATTTTCACTGAAGAATTGCTCCTGATATCTCAGGCAAACCTGCTCGTTCTCATGTTTTTTAAAATTATTTTAACTTGCGATCGATTGACACAAATTTGAGTAAAAATCAGACAGGATAAGCTGGAAGATCGCCATTATATGTAAGTTATAATTTCCAGCCTGTAGAAAAGTGGACGTCACTCCTTTTCATATTTGTCACTCTATTCATCTCCAGTGTCGATACTGGTTACAGAGCTTGGACAATTTATTTTCGTCCGGTGGATGAAGTCTCTCCCAGCGAGTATATAAACGAAATGACAAACCTTGGTAGTCGCACAGGGATCGGGATACTTGGGTGTGAACTGTTATTTAGGAGGAAAGAATGCGCCATATTTCTTAACAGTGTCGTCAAATTAGATTCTGATTTGAAAGGTAAGAAGTTTGAGATTGTTAGTATTTTATAATTATACCTAATTCTTGAATAAACACATATAAAATCTTAAGTCACACACCATAATTAGCCAATTTTTGAAATTAAAGGAAAGTTTATCGGACCTGGAAAGATTACTCAATATTACAAATCTCTCTCTCGTTTCGTCTACATGTTGGGAATTGTTTCGGCTTTTTACCCAATTTTTGGACCCATACCGAAACTAATTAAGAATCGGCATCACCGCCAATATTGGGGGTCACAACTACTACCTCGGTCAATTTATGATCATACCGTAGTTTCCGTCTTGTTCATATTGTACGAGGTTAATATTACTTTTGCCAACGCGTTTGCAGTGGGCCTAACGACTTCGATGCTATATTGTTACATGCAACTAACCGAGTTATGGCTGGAAACTGTGGAAAATGGGTAAGCAAGTGTTTGTATAATTGTACTCAACCAAGTTGGGGCACCTAAAGCATGGGATCGATTTTCGGGAAATTTTGACGCCCCACCATTTAATCGATCTCTTTAACACCAATTAATCAATACCTGCATTTGTACCATACAGTACACACCTGCACAAATAAATGGACATCATTAACTTAATTACTTTCGATTAATTAAGAAGTACACATTCACTTGTTTTCTTATCCCTTAGGAAATTCTCCTCTATCACGGTGCCCATCTCAATGAAACTAAAAATATTTTCGTCGCTCAAAATACTCAACATTCTCCAGAACGAGATCGCCGCTCCCGTATTGTGGCCAACATTTGAAAATACTTTGCTCGCCATGCAGGTCGTCATACACGTGGCGAACATCCGATTTCTGGACGACTTGCAGCCCGGTTTGTTCTTCATGCAGGAAATTGTACTAGGGTTTACGATGATATTTCAGGGAAAGTGTATCAAATCTGGGGCTAAAATGGGTGCGATATCGACTCAATTCAAGAAGGTTGGTACATATTCAGATATTTCTGAAAATGTCTGAAGGGCCATACAGTCTAACTTTTCTTTATTTGTTACTATTACAGACTGTTCGCCGCTTTGGGAATAAATTCGAAAAAAAGGTGGCAAAATCGTTGCACCCACTAAGAGTGAATGTCGGGCAGTTTTACTGCTTTAAGAAGTCTACGTTCATGACTTTTCTTCAAGCCCATGTCGACACCACGATTAGCTGGTTGCTAAGTACGTAATTATAGTGGATTAAATATACAGGGTGGTTTAAATGTCAGGTTACAATGGAAAATTTTTCAATCGGAAAAATTCGCAAATCTCCATTAGTTACCGAAATTTTGCCTCTGAAATTCAATATCTTTAAAAGAATTTTGTCATCAATGTTCCATAAGTTTTGAAAAAAATTATTGAAAATCTCAATCCCAAATCCGTAACTAAGGGAAATTTACGAATTCTTCCCATTGAAAAATTTTCCATTGTAACCTGACATTTAAACTACCCTGTTAACAGCTCTATATCCTGGTAGTACATCTCAACACCTCAAGTTGAGACATTCTGCCTCCAACTGAGCTTAAATTGGTTATTACGCGAAAAAAACATAATTCACACATTAATTACATCTGTCCACTATCATGTGACGGTTCAATAAAAGCACCAACAAAAGCTTGAGGTAGATACATGTTTGATGGACAACATCCATCTTCTGTCCACCTTATTTCTGCCGGTGCTTAAATGAACTGAACACTGCTTAATATTTGTTTCACGTGAATAAATTATGCCCAGGCACGCAGCCACAAGAGTATAGCAGGGTGGGCATTCCATATAACGTTATATTGAATGCCCACCCTGCTATACCCTCCTGGCTGCGCCTATGATATGCACATAGCAGTCTCTCACTTTGTTTTTACCAATCACAAATAAATGATGAATTAATTAATGCTACATATATGCACATACATATTTATAATGCATACATGCATAAGTTGTATACATAAATATGTAAATGTAATAAAATCATGTCAAAGGGTAGGATAAAAGGAGGCTGAAAGCGATAGAAAATTCCTTCACAATACCACCATGTATGCCGATGATGTATTTTTTACCTGTGACTTGGGTTGGTCAAAAATATTGAACTCTGACCTCTTTAAATTTCCTCTACCGAAATAATTGTAGAGTAACCGTACTTGATCCATGTAGTAATTTGTTAAAATCAATGAAATATATAATCCACGACCATACGAGTTTTTAATTTAATTAAAATTATATTCAGTTTTGAAATGTTTATTTGAAAAGGAACATATAACATTCTTATGCTTAAAATGGTAAGATATTTATAACTGTTTACAATTCACATGGGCATTGCTTTGCGTAATCGAAAATGGTCCGTTGCTTTTCTATACGCCAGTTTGAAACAAGATCGTGGAACCATTTCTTCCTCAGCGATGAAATAATGCCGACCATGTCTAGCTTGTATAACCTGAAAGATTTCTAATTTTTATACTATTTGATTTCTTAATCATGACATTAATTGGAACCCTGTGAAAAAATCGTCTCATCAAATTATTCTTTTTAGTCAAGTGATTTGCTTCACTCCGCAATTTCACGTCGCATATGTTCCTTTTAATACTTACAGTTAGGACGCAACCATATTCAGCCCGGATTATTTTTTGACCATGTAAGTTTGAAACAGCAATTTTTTAAAGGTAACATTCGGGCAGATGTGAAAGATTCAATAAGTTTCGGGCGCCGTGAGTTCGTCAATGCGAGCAACTTTGTCAGGTTCCGCTATGAAACCGAGTATTTTCATTAACCCGAAACTTGCTGAATTTTTGACATCTGCATTTGCAATTGTCGTACTAACAATGGAGGTCTCCCAACGTATGCTCACAGATTTGGAGCTAACTAGCGTCAATGGATCACAAATAGTATGAAATTTGTAAATGGCATTATCTGCCAATGCTCAAGTTTAGCGGAGATATTTGCATACTTAAAAAGAGGAGAAAACGCACCCTCAAGGCTGGCAAATTTTCTACTTTCCCAATTTACTGCGCATTTTTCCCGCTTTGGATGCAAATATCTCCGGCAAACCTGAGCATTGGCAGATAGTTCCATTTGCAAATTTCATAGTAATTATATTTGTGATCGATTGACGCTAGTTTGGTCCAAATCTGTGAGCATTTGGGAGACCTCCATTGTTAGTGTTGTCTTTAAGCAATTGCTGCTTCAAACCAGAGGTCGACGCCGACAAATTTTCGGCGGCGGCGGCGCCAGTTTTTGGTGATTTTCCGGCGGCGTCGGCGGCGCGGCGCGGCGTCGCAATGTTAAATGAATACAAAATCAAATTTTTCGGCGGCGGCGGCGCGTAAAATGCATCGGCGTATGGCGGCGCGGCGGCGTGAGATCGGCGGCGTCGACCTCTGCTTCAAACTAACATGGTTAAAAAATACGTTGCGTTGAATATGGTTTAGGTCCCCATTGCAAGTAAAAAATCCTAAATATAGACTAAACTTTACCCATTATCAAGTCAAAGTGACTCTGGACTCAGGATATGTACATAGGATCCTTAGTATACATACATGAATATGTAATACGCAGCGTATTATACGCTTAATGTAGGCTTCAACGTGCATTTACTGTTCAAAATAAACTATAGAAATTTGTAAAAATATGGTGAAACTTACGCAAATTCAAACTGCATAATTTGGGCAGGAAATCCGAGTGTATATCTGTGTTTGTTCTTTCCAAGTATAGTATAAGAGCCTTCGACAACGTTTGGAAACTCGGTCACGAGCCAATGCGTCTGCTGGAACAGGGCCAACGCCACATCTGTTTCCTGTGGGTACATAGTTAATTAAGAAGAAGGCATGAATTGATTTGCATAGGTACCTACCTATGTATGCCCCGGATCGAGTAATACAAACCTGAGAAACTAAAACAAAAGGGGGCTTACGTTCTTTTCCAGAATTTCCATCATTCCCCCACCCCCGATCCAGGTACCTTTCGAGGCTGTCTTATTGATGTAAGTTCCAAACGTGTCGACCATTGTGAGGGTACAATTATCCAAATTTTGCACTTCGGCGTCAATCATATCCAATAAATCGAAAAGGAGGCCCGATGATTTCGACAAGATTTATCGTTCGGGGGAAGAACGCAGCTTTCATTTTTGATAACCCAGGGATGATCCTGTCAGAAATATAAATATTTTAATAACGAGACAAAACAAATTAACGGCCAATATCGGTTAGGAAAATTAAACGTTTTTTAAATACTGTTACCCATTTTGAAAAATAGAAGCACTCAGAATTCTAAATTTTTTGTTATGGTTTGTGCATTAAAATGAGATGAAATGTTTTGGCGCACTCCTCTTTGAAGAAAAAGGACTAATTACACAAAATGCAAACCTTAAATCCAGAATAAATATATTCTTTATCTGTATCATGTTAACGGTACTCTGCATTCAGTTCAGTTTACTTAATTCAGAGTGCATTTATTTATATTTTAAAAGTGTAATCTTATTTTTAAGAGTATGTAAATCGTAGCCTCAAACTTACCTCAATTGTCACAATTCTAGAAATTGGAACTACATCTGTGCATACAAAATATTTTGGGATTCAAATTTACAATTTATATCATTCCCCGCCCGTTAACAATTTCTGGGCAAATATTTGAAACTAACCCCAGCATTCCTTCCATTCGCCTAAATTCCAGTAAATGGTGCCAGGTTTGCATTTGCATATTCCGTCTAAACAGATTGTGTTAGTTCCTTCACATGTAAGGAATGTGGCATTCTGACATGTTCCACAAACGTCTCCAAGCGCCACTTCGGTCGAGGAGCAAGTCAAATCTGAAAAATACTTGGGAGATTATGCTTATAAATAGATACACTCTTGAAAACAATGAGGGTATTCATTATTTCTTCGTATCCTTAGTATTCTTCGTATCGTAAAATAACTTACGACGCTTACGAGATTTTGTAAGCGTCGTATGATTTTGTCATTGAAAATCGCGTTACTACGCTTACAATTTTTACGAAAGCTGACCACTTGTTTTATCTTCGTAAACTATTTTACGATACTACGGATACGAAGTAATAACGAATACCCTCATTGTTACACTTTTTAAAAGAAAATTCACCCTGAATTCGGTATTAAGTAAACTAACCTAAATCCACAGTAAACTTTCCTGCTTATAAAGTTAGTCTGGATTTAGTTTAAAGTTCACAAATTACGTCACGCAAGAGGGGGAGAGACTATTTAAGGCTGCAATGGTATTGTGCCAATGTTACACCTGCTAAAGGGGTGGATGGGGGTCAAATAATAGAAAATATTGATTTTTGGGTTACGTAATTTATGGACGGCCCCTAAGTATAGTTTACTTATTATAGTGTATTTAATGCTCAAAGGGATAACACCACTTTTATCACTGTCCTCTGAACCACTTCTTAACGGCGCCGGCTGTGTGACGCAAAGAGAAATGGTTAAATGTTTGTTTCTGCGTTTACTTTATTTATTTGATATTTGAAGGATATTTTTAAGGCATCGAAAAGCTTATGTAAAACTCCAATTTCAGAGCATTTCTAGGCATTTTTTAAACATTAAGAATGCACAAAATGTGTAGTTTGCTATGTATGCAAACTAGTTTTCTAAATTATTTTTTTGTCTTGTCCTTCTAAACAAATAGAACCTGGCAAAAATTACATAGAAGGGAACTAGTAGTGAAGAGGTTAATAAAATATATGTACTAACCTTCAGTATAACATGGTAGGCAAATATTGAAAAGAATTAACCCAGCTGACACCAACAACTGAAATAATATTCTAGTCATTTTCACCTTCAGAACTTAAACTATTGCCAAAGTGGAGAGATGGATCGCCTTTTAAATAAAAATTTGACCTTCCTGTCCCATTTGAAAAATAACTTTTGACATGTGGCAATCTTTGCGTGCTCCTCTTTTTTAACAAATTAAATTCGACCCAATTGTTTTTTCGTGAACCGCATTCTTTTTTTTCTTGTTTTGTTCTATCATCTCTTTAGAACATTAGTTAATTTGAATGGAAAATAAAATTCTTGATTAAAGCGTTTTGAATAAAAACTGAAAAACAAAAGAGTTACCATTTACACAAGTATCATAGTTTTCTATGTAGAAATGTGCGGAATTTTAGTAACTGCGTGTCAGGGTTATAGTCGCTTTGTTCCAGAACTATTTGTACGTATGTATGAAAGGCAACAATCGGTCTTTCATTGTTTGTGGGAAACTGATTTAATTAATTTAATGTTTTCCTTATAGACCCTAAAAATAATTCTGCCATTTTGAAGATCAAGTGCACTCTGAATTATATATATATGAAATAACTAAACTACTAACAATGCGATGGTGTGAAGTGTAACGCTCCGATTTGGTTGAAAGTTTGAAATTATGTGGTCCATGTCAATACAACCAACGTTCCTTGCGATGGTTAGAGATTGACAAAATTTTTGAGGTCAAAGTGGAAAAACGGGCGATTCTTCGCACACGGAGGAAGCAAACTCAACTCCCATTCGCTTCCCGTGCTAAACATCTTCCATTTTTCAACGTTGTTCTAAAATATTTTGCCAAATTCTGACCATCACACAAACTGGCTGAAGAAACGTTGGTTGTATTGACATGGACCACGTAATTTCGAAATTTCAACCAAATCGGAGGGTTACACTTCACACCATCGCATTGTCAGTTCAGACTAACATAGCTAGATAAACTTAAGAAAAGCGTAAAGCTAACTCTGGATTTACTTAATATAAATATAATTCAGAGTACATTTACTTTTCAATGAGTACATAGTGGGTAACACTCTTTTTATTAGTGTTAGATAAATTAAATTTCAACTTACTCATATACAATCAGCTTCACTGTATATTTTAAAACACTACAAATACCTCCAACGAAAGCAATGATTACATAGTAGAATTCCTACATATCAAAGTTACCATACCATTAAGACGGATCTTAAAGTCATGAAATTGGTGATTGCGCAAGGAATTTCTACTTTTTTATCCCATTTTTCCCACCACAGTTCCATTTCCCAAGTAAAATATGCATACATATGTATGTATATAAATCTGATTAATAATTACTTTTACATATAGCGAGATATATTTATTTGGTCAGAAGGACGGTCATTGATTGAAAACCAGATTTAAATCTGATGTATATTGACGGTAAAGGATTCATTTTCATTTATCAAATTCATTTATCTCTAATTTAATACGTAGTTTTACCTATAAAACTGGAATCTTATAAAATATCGTACTGTAGTTAAACTAGTTTTTTTTTCATCCACTTGCATTTACATATCTTGTATCGAGTTAATAGTATTTCATAATTTCCCACGCCTCTCTCGTAAAGCATTCATGCTAAACTAAGGTCGCACGGTGAAGGTACATAAATATCAGTTCAGGTTTGACAACCTCTCCAGTCCGGAGCGACGTTTTTAACGCAAAACTACAAAAATCTGGTCGGGTCAATACGCAAAATGTGCAGAGAAATTTCCAGGGATCCATTAGAAATTCTATTCGACGGGTATTACTACGACATCACCGAATTTTCAGCACGCCACCCTGGTGGAGACGTTATTTTGTACTACACGGAAAAAGGGGAAGATGCCACGCAAGCCATTCAACAATTTCATAATCGGTTCTTCCCCAAAGTAAAATCACTTCTAGAGACGATGAAAAAGCGACCGGCTACCCAAATTGAGAGTAAGGAAGCAAATGTTTTATGTATTCAGAATTTACATTGTTAGCAATTTCCGGGAAAAATTTTGGCTTGAAAATTCACTTGGCAACTAACGTATTTATCTGCAATCACAATTTTTTGCAAAATTGCGTTCCGATGTGAACATTCGAAGTCGTAGTTAATAACCTCAATATTTGATATGATTGTTTGAATTCGTAATAAAATAAGATTGAAAATTGGCGTCATGTACTGAAATGTAAAATTACTTGACACGAAAATTATGTGATGATTTCTACCTTTTGACGTCACAGTGTACGTTGAAGGTCAAAAATACTGGGGCGCTGATTTTGTGGTAAAATTCTCTTCGATATGAGACCCCATAGGTATGAAAAGTAAGGGTAAATTTATGTCTTGATTTTTTATAATCTAGCCAAAAGAAGAATTGCATGTAAAAAAAAGTGTCTGAAAAAATCAAACCATAATTTTGGTCCATTAACCGTAGTTAGGGGCGGGTGGTCCGATTGACCCAGTTATCGAGGTCATCACGCGGGAACTAAAAATTACGAACACAATGGTGTCAACTGCGTTTATTGTTAATTGCGTTAATTGTTAATTGCGTTAACTGCGTTAATTGTATATACATATCATAGCGTTTTAGAGACGCTCACGGACGGACGGACAAAACGATCACAATTAACGGCGGACGCACCACCTTAATGAACCCCAAGTTAAATAAAGTATCGGTGTTTCTTTCAGATCCTCTCACACCCGAAGAGGCCAAGCGACATCGCGATATTACCAACGATTTTAACGAGTTATTCTACTGGATGAAGAGTCAAGGCATGTTTGAGTCGTCGCCGTGGCGAATTATTTGCCGACTTGAGGAATGTTAGCTACTTTGGATGGTGGGCCTGTACATGTGTGGCGGTACTTCATTTTTGGTGCAATTCTTCGGCGCCGTGCTATTCGGACTAGGCGCTGGTCGTGCCGGTTGGGTAATGCATGACGCCGGGCATCACTCATTAACTGGGAACCATATCGTGGACAGACGTATCCATTCAATATTTCTGGGTAATTTTTTTTAATTGAAGAAATTTTATCCGAATTCATAAATTTCTAATCGGAGTAGCAACGAAATCGAATCAAATTCTTTACGTACTCGCTTCGAAGTTTTCGAATTGATGAACGACTTATTTTGATTCGAATCGAATTTGCAGAGAATATCTAAATTCGATTCTGCAAATTTTGAAATTTATGTCGAGGGTATTCATTTATCACAAGAAGATCGCATTGATAGTGAAGTTTGTTAAACTTTTTGAAAAATGATGTATTTTTATTTAGGAATCTTAGACGGCGTCGGGGCTGCATGGTGGAGGAGACGCCACAACAAGCATCACGCCATGCCACAGGTTTGCTACTTTTTCAAATATTTTTAACACAAATATGCATATTCAGATGTATGTACATACATACATAGTTACATAACCTAACAGAGAATAGACTACGACGGGGACCTTAACACGATGCCGCTAATTGCTAATTCTATCGAAATTGTGAAAGATCCGCGACAAGGCAACTCTTTTTTCATTCAGAATCAGGTAAAAAACTATATATATACTTTTATCTATCTATAAACTTTTAGAAAACTGGTATTAAATCACTACCGACCTAGATATATCTAAGTATGCAAACGATTCTTCTTGGTAATAACGGGCAGTACCGTTTATCTACGTACATATGTATGTACGTACGTAGTAATGTTCTACTACTGGCAAATTCACCTGCTCAGAGACACACTACTGTCCATTTTATAGTAAACTAGCGTATAAGCCCGTCTCCCACCGGCCGACGGGCTTATTTGATTTTCATGAAAGTTAAGTGGGATTGTTCATACTTCCACCGAATTTTTTTTATTGTATCTATATTATAAACAGAGTCCGGCTATGTATGTATTTTAAACTTTTTCAATAATAACCCGATCGGGTTGAAACTTTGGGATATTGTTCCTGGTCAGGCATAGGTCACACGGTCAAAAAAATGTTTTTACATATTTTACATATTTCCAGGTTTTGGTACATATAAATATGTTTCAACATATTTCGACGATTTTGCCGAAAATGAGCATTTTTCAATACAAATAAATATGTTTTTACATATTTCAGCGATTTTTTCGAAAAAAATATATTCTTTTAGAGAAACCTCAGAAATTCACAATTCATAAAAAATTCCGATCATCGTAGAAATAATACCAGAGCATGTTGAAATGTTTTTAGTTTGTCACTTTGAAATGTAAAAGCATTTTTTGGCATTTCTGCATTAAAGCAAATTAAAAATATGTTTTATATACATATTTTGGTGATTTGATTGAACATTTTACATAAATATTTCGGGGTTTTTAAGAACATATTTACCCGGACTCTGATTATAAATTTGTAATTACTGTGGCGGCTCAAAATGACATTTGTCCTCAAATTAATACATACCCTATGAAAGCAGTTGCTATTACTAAAAATAAGATTAAGACTCCTATCGTTCAAGTCATTGTATAAGTATACGATGAATAGTAGATCCCTCGTCCTACATGGAGGTACAGGGCAATGAAGAATATAGAGGCTCCATTGGCGTGTATGACTCGTAGAAGCCATCCGTAGTTTACGTCTCGGGTAATATGAGCTACTGTATTGAATGAGATGGTTACATCTGCTGTGTAATGTATTGCTAAGAATAAGCCTGTGATAATTTGGGTTACTAGGCATAATCCTAGAAGAGACCCAAAATTTCACCAGGCTGAAATATTAATTGGGGCAGGAAGATCTACTAAAGCATTATTTGCAATTTTAAAAAGAGGGTGTATTTTCCGTTCTGCTATCATTATTTTAAAAAGTGTGAGAGGGTTTTGAGAGGGGCCTCAAATTTATTAGAAATTTTTACTACAATCACTAGGGTTAAAAATAAATAAAGTATAGAAGTGGTTAAAAGAATGCAGTTGTTTCATCTATAAAGGAAATTAAATGTTTTTGTTATAAGAAATCTTGTTCTTGACTCTTTAAATTCTTGGAAGTCTACATTTATAATTATAAAGAATACCAAAATTATGGGGATAAAAATACTATTAGGGAGGGTGACTATTTTTAATTTAATTAATTCATTTGACGCTAGGCTAGTGATATAAATAAACAAAACTATTAACCCCCCCAAAAAAATTAGGAATAAAATATAGGAAAATCATCTAGTTTTTATAAAAAATCATACAGTGATGCATAAAATTATAGTCTGAGAAATAATTAAAACTATTATTATTACTGGGTGTCTTCTTAGATAAAATATAGCTCTAATTCTTGCGGAAGTTAACAAAAATATTTTTATACAAAATTTAATTTATGAAAAATATTAGCTTTGGAAGTTGGAAAAAAGTGGATAACTTAATTTTGAAGTTTTTATGCTTTAAGCACACTTAAGTTTACAAAACTAATATTATAAAATTAACTATAAAAACTTATATTTTTATCTTTTATTAGAGGTTTAATTATTCTTTCTGGGGTTTGGATTGTGTGCTCTAAGCGGGATCATCTTTTGTCTGTTCTTTTAAGACTTGAATATATTAGATTAGGGGTTTTTCTTTTATTGTTAGCATTATTGAGAAAAGGAGACTTTTTCTATTCTTTAGTTTATATTACTTTTACAGCATGTGAGGGTGCTTTAGGTCTTTCTATTTTAGTGACGATAAGACGGACGCATGGAGGTGATTATTTTAAGTCTTTTAATTTTTTTTAAAATTTATGATAGTAAATTTATTTTTTATCTTTTTATTTATAGGGTTTTTAAAGAAGTTTAAATTTAATTTAATTTATGTGTTAACATTTATTTCTGTTTATCTAGTAATTTATACATTAGTGGGTCAGCCAGAAACGTTTTACTTAGACTCTTTATTTTATTATGACGGGATTAGATTTATTTTAGTGTCTCTAAGAGTTTGGGTTAGAATTTTAATAATTTTTTCTAGATATAAAATTTTTCGTTTCAAGGAGTATACTTTTTATTTTTATAGTTTTGTTTTTTTATTACTTTTTATTTTACTATTGACTTTTTTTTCGGGTAACTTATTATTTTTTTATTTTTTTTTTGAGGTTTCTCTAATCCCGACACTTTTAATTATTATGGGTTGAGGCTACCAACCGTGTTCAAGCAGGAATGTATTTTTTATTTTATACGCTCACAGCGTCACTACCTTTACTTTTATTAATTATGTACTTATATATAATTGGAGGTGGCGTTTCTTTATTTTATAAGGAGTTACTTTTTTATTCATTTTCAGGTTTTAATTTCTTTGTTATTACTGCTTTTATGGGTTCGATAGCCTTTTTAGTTAAACTCCCTATGTATTTTACACATTTGTGACTCCCTAAAGCTCATGTTGAGGCCCCCGTGGCAGGCTCGATAATTTTAGCTGGGGTTTTATTAAAGTTAGGGGGCTACGGTCTTATACGAGTTCTTAGTATCACAGGGGTTTCGGCTATAAAGTTTAGCCCTTACTTTATAGGGCTAAGATTAGCTAGAATAATGTTTACAGGGATCTTGTGTTGTCGTTTAAATGATTTTAAAGCTTTAGTAGCGTACTCTTCAGTAGCCCATATAGCTATGGTGATTGGGGGGCTAATAACTCTCTATTCATGGGGATTTATGGGGGCCTTAGTGATGATAGTAGCTCATGGAGTTTCCTCTTCAGGTTTATTTTGTATGGTTAACTTATACTACGAACGAACTGGGAGCCGAAGTTTTTTTATTAATAAGGGGCTTATTTTAAGTTTTCCTATTTTTTCTTTACTAATATTTTTTCTCTGCGCGTCGAATATTGCTGCCCCTCCGACTATTAATTTATTATCAGAGATTTTTTTGATAGCTAGAATTATGAGTTACGATTATATTATACTTTTATTCTTTCCCCTAGGCTCCTTTTTAGGGGCGGTTTTTACATTATTTATATTTTCGTTTTCACAACACGGGTCTTCTTATAATTCACTATATGGGTTTGTTCATTCTAATGTTCGTGAGATCCACACTATTAGACTTCACATTGCCCCAGTAAATTTCTTAGTTTTAGGGTCGAATTTTATTTTTACATTTTACTAAATAATTTCATTTAAATAGTTTAAGAAAAATTTTAGTTTGTGATTCTATAGATGGGGGAGCCCTTTAAGTAATATTTTATTTGGTTTTACCTTTTTATTTAGGGGTTTTATTATTAGTGGCTAGCTTAATCAGTATGCGGTTTGGTCTTTTATATTTTCTTTCTGCTGAAACTATATTTGTTGAATGAGAAATATTTTCTTTTAGATCAACTTCTATTATCATAACTCTTATTTTTGATTGAATAAGTTTGAGATTCACAGGGCTCGTAATATTTATTTCTTCTATGGTACTTTTTTATAGAATCATATATATAAGGGGGACAAGTTTTTAACTCGGTTTATTTTTTTAGTATATTTCTTTGTCTTGAGTATAGTCTTTATAATTTTAAGCCCTAATATAATTAGAATCTTATTGGGGTGGGACGGACTCGGTCTTGTGTCGTATTGTTTAGTAATTTATTACCAAAATGTAAAAAGAGCAAATGCGGGTATAATTACAGTTCTCTCTAACCGTGTGGGTGACGTAGCTATTCTTTTATGCATTTCATGGCTACTGAATTTTGGTAGATGGAATTTTTTTTATTCGCAGTTTGTCTATTCGTACGAAGTAGTTTCTTTTATAGTTATCCTAGTAATTTTAGCAGCTATAACAAAAAGAGCTCAAATACCCTTTTCTGCCTGGTTACCTGCGGCTATAGCAGCCCCCACCCCAGTTTCAGCTCTTGTGCATTCATCTACTTTAGTCACAGCTGGGGTGTATCTATTAATTCGGTTTAATTACACTCTAGGTGTCAATAATTTTTTATTATTTATTGGTATGTTGACTATATTTATATCTGGTTTAGGGGCTAATTTTGAGATAGATTTAAAAAAAATTATTGCCCTATCAACACTAAGTCAGCTCGGGTTAATAATAACATCTTTGGGGCTGGGCTTCTACGAGTATGCCTTTTTCCATCTTTTAACTCTCTATTAAATCCCTATTATTTCTATGTGCTGGGGTGTTTATTCATTCTATAGGGGACACTCAGGATATTCGAGCGATAGGGGGCTAATGATTTCTTGCCCAGTTACATCTTTGTACTTCATTATTTCTTCAATAGCTCTTTGTGGGTTTCCGTTTTTATCAGGATTTTTTTCTAGGGATATAATTATTGAATTTTTTTTTCAAGGTAAAATAAATTTAATTATGGGATGCTTAATAGTTTTATCTACATTGTTTACATTAACGTACTTTGTTCGCCTTTTGTATTTTTCTTTTTTAATAATATGGGTAACCGGTATCTTTTAAGTTTAGCTGAGAGAATTAACATACTAATTCCGATAACATTTTTAATTTTTATGTCAGTTTTGGCTGGCGGGTGGCTTAGAGTTTATATATTTCCTATGAATTTTATTTTTCTACCCCTGTGGCTTAAATTATTGGTCGTTACTATAATTTTTAGTTTTTTCTTTATTTATTTTTTCTTAGTAGACTTTAAGGTTATAAAGAAAATTAGCCCTACCTCAGGTTTAGACTATTTTTTAGGTTCGATGTGACTGCTTCCTTTTATTTCTACTTTTGCTCTGACTCCTATTATTAAGTACGGCGTAAAAATTTTAAATCTTGCGGACCAAGGTTGAGTGGAGTTTTTAGGGGGGCAAGGATTTATTGACAAATCTAAGTTTATTTCTTCCAAGGCAGATGTATTAAATTCCGTAAGAATGAAATTCTTCATATTTAGTTTCTTTATGGGTGTATTGGTTTTATTTTTAGCTTAGTTTATATTTTTATAGCTTATATAAAAGAGCACTACGTTGAAGTTGTAGGGGAAGACTGAGTCTTGAAAATGTATTCCATAAAAATATATTTATTTATTTAAACATTGAAAATGTTTTGTTTTTAATTAAACTAAGATAGAAAAAAGAAAATAACGGAGTTTAACCGTTAAAATTTTAAGTTAGCGGCTTAAATTTGGCTCCCTTTTCTTATTAAAGAGGCTGAGTGCCTAATAGCCATTAACAGTGGCTCGCCGCTTCTTTGGCTTCCTTTAAAATAAGGGGAGAACCCAAATTTTCAGGTCGAAACTGACCGCGATTTTTCGCTTCTTACTAGTGTAAGATAGACTTTCACAGTACTTTCTGAATGCAACCCAGATGTTATTTTTAACTACAATCCTTTATTTTATTAATATACAATATTATTTTCAGTCTAAGGCTCCTTGGTTCCATTCATGTAGAAGTCCCATTAAAAGAATTAAGATGAAGAATGTTAATAGAGTTAGAGTGTGGGCTCAATTTATTGATGTAAGAATAACTGGCAGGGGGATGACTAGAGTAATTTCTACATCAAAAATTAAAAATACCACTGCGATTAAATAGAACCGAAGAGAAAAAGGAAGTCGTGAGGATCTTTTGGGGTCGAATCCGCATTCGAATGCTGAAGGTTTTTCTCGTTCTTGTATATTTTTTTTTGCAATGAAAGAGTTTAGTAAAATTAAAATTGAGGGTAGCCCGAATGAGATAATAAATATTATTAAAATTATATTTATCTAACAAATTGAACCTTCTAATTGGAAGTTAGGTGTACTTTTTATACTATAAATATACTTTAACCTCCTCATCAGTAGATACTTATGTAAAGAAAAAGTCACACCACATCAGCAAAATGTCAGTATCAAGCAGCTGCTTCAAAACCAAAATGGTGATTTCTTGAGAAGTGACTTTTTATATGTCGTGAGAGACACACAATAAGAAATGTTGTGCCAATAATTACGTGGATTCCATGAAATCCTGTTGCTATAAAAAAAGTTGACCCATAGGCTGAGTCTGAGATTGTAAAAGATGCTTCTCAGTATTCAAGAGCTTGAAGTGAAGTAAAATATACACCTAGGGTGACTGTTAATAGTAGCCCTAATAATGCTTGGGAAAAATTATTTTCTATAATTCTGTGGTGGGCTCAAGTTACTGTTACGCCTGAACCAAGAAGAATAATAGTATTTAAGAGGGGGACTTGAAATGGGTTAAAGGAAGCACTCCCCTAGGGGGTCATATTAAACCGATTTCTATAGAAGGGGCAAGACTTCTATGGAAGAATGCTCAGAAAAACGAGAAAAAAAATAATACTTCAGATGTAATAAATAAAATTATACCTCAGCGCAATCCCTTGGCTACAATTGAAGTGTGGAGTCCTTGAAAGGTCCCTTCTCGTCTGATGTCACGCCATCATTGAATACAAGTTAGGGTTATAATTATTATACCGAATAAAAATAAATTTATATTTATTTCTTGGAACCATTTTACAATGCCTGTAGTTAAAATGAAAGCACCCGTGGCCCCAGTAAGGGGCCACGGGCTTAGGTCTACTAAGTGGAATGAGTGGTCTCTCTTTATTATCATTACTTATTTAGTGGGGTGTAATTTCTCTAGCGTATAGTGTTGATAACACCGCAAAAACGTAAGATTGAATTATAGCTACAGCAGATTCTAGGGTTAATAAAAGAATTTGGGTTAAGATTAATCTAGCTAAGATTAAGTTAGAGGCGGCTGCTGTTTGGTTGCCCAAAAGAGTTATTAATAGGTGTCCTGCTACTATATTAGCTATAAGTCGGACTGCCAAAGTTAAAGGTCGGATTACATTTCTAATTGATTCGATTAACACTATAAATGGTATTAATAAATTTGGAGTGCTCTGTGGCACTAAATGGGCAACATATGTTTGGTATAATTTAATCAGCCGTACATCATAAATGATAGTCATAGAGGTAATCTTAAAGTTAAGGTCAAAACTATGTGTCTTGAAGCTGTAAAAATGTATGGAAATAAGCCCATAAAATTATTTATTAGAATAAATATCAGTAAAGAGATAAATGGGATAGTTCTTCCTACTGATGAGTGGGGTCCTAGCAGTATTTTAAACTCATCATGAAGTTTTTTGCAAATTCTTCATTAAATCATTAAAACAATTAATGATCTAATTCAGTTTAAAGATACAAAAATTATTGATGAAGGATCAAACACTGAAAATAAATTAGTTATTATCATTTTCAATTTATATGGCCGGTTTCGTTGCCACTAAGTGGGGTATTAGTTTGACCAACGTTGGCATTCATATTAGTATTTTTAATATTAGAAATTTTAATTACAGATAGAAGGAATAGCCAAGAGAACAATAAAAAAAGAGGTAGCCATATAATGGGTGCTATTTGAGGAATAAAAAAATGTTTTTAAACCACTTAGTCTTGACAAAACTATATTATAAATAATGTTAACTAATTTTTTCATTAAAAACATTTGTTAAATTGTTATGAAACGGTTTAAGAGACCGACGCTTACTTTCAGCCACTTAATGAATAGTTTATTTAGATATATTTTTTACTCATTTAATGAAGTTTTTTCCTGGAATTGTTTCAATTACGATGGGCATAAATCTATGATTTGCTCCGCAAATTTCTGAGCATTGCCCGAAAAATAGTCCAGGGCGGTTTGTATAAAAATTAACTTGGTTTAGACGTCCTGGCACAGCGTCAGCTTTAATTCCCATTCTTGGGACTGTTCATGAGTGTAAAACATCAGCAGCTGTAATTAAAGTGCGGACTTGGGAGTTCAGAGGGGCTATTATTCGGTTATCAACGTCAATTAAACGAAATATATTTATTTCTATTTCATTTGACGGGATTATGTATGAGTCAAATTCTAAGTTAATAAAATCTGAATATTCGTAAGATCAATATCATTGATGTCCGATAGTTTTAATGGTGATTGCCGGGTTATAGACCTCATCTAATAAATATAATAAGCGAATAGAAGGAAGGCCGATAAAAATTAAAATAAAACTTGGGATAATAGTTCAAAATAATTCTAAACCTTGGGATTCTATTATATGTTGGTCAATATTTGTGTTGTGTATAGTTGAGAATAAATTAAATCCTACAATAGAAATAATTAAAATCAAAATTGTTAGGGTGTGGTCATGGAAAAAGATTAGTTGTTCTATTAAAGGTGAAGAAGCGTTTTGGAACCCTAAAGCCGCTCAAGTTGCAATTTTTAAAAGAATAAATTATTCATTTTTGAATTTTAAGTTCACTGCACTAATCTGCCACATTAAAAATGTGTGACTAAGGATAGCTCCGAGTATGAGTGTTCGGATGGGGGTATATTTTGAAGTCATTCAATTGATGAAGAGTAAATAAAGTTATGGACTCTAGGACGGGCAGTCGAAATAGATTCCCAAATAATAAAGCTGAATAGAATAACGGCAGCTACTGAGGTATAGCTTCCTAACGAAGATAATACGTTTCAAGTAGTAAATGCATCGGGGTAGTCTGAGTAACGTCGAGGCATGCCGTTTAGTCCTAAAAAGTGTTGGGGGAAAAATGTTATATTAACCCCAATGAACATAGTATAAAATTGAATTTTTAGTCACTTAGGATTTAAATTTACTCCTGTAAATAAAGGAAACCAGTGAATTAAGCCTCCTATAATTGCAAACACAGCCCCCATAGATAAAACATAGTGAAAGTGGGCGACTACATAGTAAGTGTCGTGAAGTACGATGTCAAGTGAAGAGTTAGCTAAAATAATTCCTGTGAGACCCCCCACAGTAAATAAAAATACAAAGCCTATGGCTCATATTAAAGTTGGGGTGATAATTAAAGCTCTTCCTTGAAGTGTCGCTACTCAGCTAAAAATTTTCACTCCTGTGGGGATGGCAATAATTATAGTGGCGGCTGTAAAGTAAGCACGAGTGTCTACATCTATTCCCACAGTAAATATATGATGTGCTCAAACGATAAATCCTAGAAGACCGATTGCTATTATCGCGTAAATTATACCTAGTTGACCGAAAGTTTGTTTTTTACCTCTTTCAAATGTAATAATATGTGAAATTATGCCAAACCCAGGAAGAATTAAAATATAAACTTCTGGGTGACCAAAAAATCAAAACAAGTGTTGGTACAAGATAGGGTCGCCGCCCCCGGCAGGGTCGAAAAATGAAGTATTTAGGTTACGATCTGTTAAAAGTATTGTAATGGCTCCAGCAAGAACTGGAAGGGAAAGCAGGAGAAGGATAGCGGTTAAAAAAACTGATCAAACAAATAAAGGAGTTCGATCCCAAGTCATACCCTCAACTCGTATGTTGATGATAGTTGTAATAAAATTTACTGCCCCCAAGATTGAACTTGCCCCAGCAAGGTGAAGTCTGAAAATTGATAAATCTACAGAAGCTCCAGCGTGGGCGATGCCTCTTGATAAAGGGGGGTATACAGTTCAGCCTGTGCCTGCTCCTCTTTCCACCAGTCCTCCGGATAAAAGTAAGATTAATGAAGGTGGAAGAAGTCAAAAACTTATATTATTTATTCGAGGGAACGCCATATCTGGGGCGCCGATTATTAGTGGAACTAGTCAATTTCCAAACCCCCCAATTATAATAGGCATAACTATGAAGAAAATTATAATAAAAGCATGGGCTGTTACTATTACATTATAAATTTGGTCGTCTCCAATAAAAGAACCTGGTTGACCTAATTCCAGGCGGATTAAAACTCTAAATGCAGTGCCGACCATAGCAGATCAAACTCCAAAAATTAAATACATAGTTCCGATATCTTTGTGGTTGGTTGAAAAAAGTCAACGTTTCATAAATAAAATGGCTGAGTTTAGGTGTTAAACTGTAAATTTAATTACGAGTGGTGTACTCTTTTATTATAATGTTATGTATTCAATTATGAGTTAGGATTGCAAATCTTAAAGTGGCGTTAAGCTCTTAACTTAAAGTTTAAGGCTCCCATCTTAATTAAAGCTTTGAAGGCTTTTAGTTTTATTAACTTAAAACTTTAAATTAATAAAACTAAATTTGATAAAATTAAATTTCCGGCTAGGGAGAAAATGATGAATTTATTGATTTTTTTCTCACTCGATGAGATTTTTTTTTCAGGGAGGCTAGCTGTTAAAGAATTAAAAAATATTTTAGTGTAAAAATAAAGTGAAACTAAAGAAGACGCAACCAATGTAATTATAATTACTATGGGGAAAGTTTTTACAGCTACTGTTAAGGCGATTAATTTTCTTAAAAACCCTAAGAACGGGGGGAGCCCCCCAAGTGATATAATTAGAGTTCTTAGTATTAATTTCGTTTTAAGATTAATCTTAGAGGAATTAATTTCTTTAATTTTTTTAAAATTTAAAAAATTTATAGCGAAAATGATTGGTGATAAAACAAAAAAATAAATTAAAAAATAAAAAGTTCAAAATTTTAAAGACAAAGAGGCTAGTATGAGTATTCATGCTGAGTGTGAAATCGAAGAATAGGTTAATAGAATTTTTCTACTTATTTGGTTTAGCCCTCCAACTGCGCCAGCAGTTGCTGATATAATAATAATAAAATAAGTAAACACACTGATATTAAAATTAATAATTAATATGAATGGGGCAATTTTTTGTCAGGTGAAGATGATAAAACATTTAAATCAAGAGATGAATTCAGTAACTTGAGGAAATCAGATGTGAAAGGGGGCCAGGCCTGCTTTGATAGACAGGGCTAAAAATAAAAAAAAGTTTATTCTTTCTAAGTAATAATTTTTTATTTGAAGGGCTGTAAAGGATGCAGCTGTAATTAAAATGACAGAAGCGACCGCCTGGGTTAAAAAATATTTGATTGCTGTCTCTGTAGATTTAAAATTAAGGTCTCTTAAAATTAAAGGGATAAATCTTATTAGGTTAATTTCTAGGCCGATTCAACAAAGAATTCATGAGTTAGACGATACTGCCATTAAAGTGCCTAAAAATGTAGTGGTTATAAATGTTAATTGATAATTTTTAAAGAACATTAAAAAGGAAGAGATTTGACTCTTATAGAAGGGGTATGAACCCTTTAGCTTATTTAGCTTACCTTTATATTAATTGTGTGTGATTGGCTAGGCTCATAAAATTTATAAATTAGTTTAAATGAACATTAAATTTTGAATTTAATAGAAATAGTGCAATTCTATTATTTATAAATAAAGGTACAAATACATGATCTATTCTATCAAAATAGCCCTTTTTTCAGGCACATTATTAATTTTTTCTTAGTACATTATAAGATGTTTTAATGTTTTTTTTTGCGTTAATGAGGTTATGTGTAGCAATATATATATATATATATATATATATATATATATATATATATATATATATTAATTATATGCATATGTATGGTTAATTATATATATATATATATATTTATTTATATATATTTATTTATATGAATATATTAGTATATACATATGCATAAATATATATATTTATTAATAAATAAAAATATCTATATATATATATACATATTTTATATGTATAAAAAAAAAAAATAACGTAACCATCAATATACTTAAAATTAATAATAAAAATTAACGAATAAATAATCAAAGATCAATCTAAAATAACCAATCAATTAAGGCTATAATAATATGTTTAAATTTATTATATATATAAATCTACATATATATATATAAAAATATTTAATATAATATTTTTTTAACTATTATGCTTAAAAAAATAGTTAAAAAAATATGGGGGTTTATACTCTGGGCAGAAAAGTTTGATTTTAGCTTAATGATTTATTTTATAAATTTTATACATGTAATAGGGCAGTATTTTATATTATGAAACTAATTTAGGCATAAAAATTTATGTAAATTCTGAATAAATTTTGTGCCAGCATTCGCGGTTATACCTTACGGTTTAATAAATCTTCTTAGAAAATTTAATATAAAAGTTATTTACAGTAAAAAATTAGGTGAAATTGAGTTTTATTTTATGTAAACTTATATTTTAATTAAAACTTTAGTTAAAAGACCTGGATTAGATACCCAGTTATTTATTTTATAAAATATCTAAGGTAGTAATTTTTAAAACCTAAAGAATTTGGCGGTATTTTATTCTTATTAGAGGAACCTGTTAGTTAAAAGATACCACACTATAATTAACATTAAATTTTCTTATATACCGTTGTCTTAAGAATTAATTTGTAAGTTTTTTCTAAAATTTTTATATGATTTAAGTCAAATCAAGGTGTAGAATTTTAATGGCTCAATGGGTTACATTTATTTAAATAATGGTTTTATATTTGGTAACTATAGATAAATTGGATTTAAGAGTAATTTTATGTTAATAAAATTGAATTTAGCTCTAAAATATGTACATATCGCCCGTCGCTCTAGTTATAAAATTAGATAAGTCGTAACAAAGTAGATTTTCCGGAAGGAGGATCTTGAGTAATGTAATATAGCTTAAGTAAAGCATTTCATTTACACTGAGCTTATTTAGAATTGACTCTAATATTATGATTTTTAAAATTATAACTTTTTAATTTAATTAATTTTTTAGTATAGTAAAGAAAATTTAATTTTATAAAGTCCGTAGGGGGAAGTTGAAATAAGATTAAATATAAAAAATTTTAAAAGTACTCAAAAGGTACCTTTTGTATTAGTGTGAGTTTAATTAATTTTTTATAAAATTTTCTCGAAAAATAAAGAGTAATAAATTATTTTGTATTTGTTGTTGAATTAACATTAAAAATTATTTATAGAATTGAGATTTTATTCGATTTATTTTATATCTAGTTAAATTAAAAAGGTTTATCCTTGCTATCATAGTATTGATTGAGTTTTAAAAATATATTTTAATTAATTGATTGTTAAATTTAAGGGGGCTATCTCTTAATTTAGTTATCTATATCTTTATATATTATTTAGTTAAATTTTCGCTTAAGAACAGCTTTAATATAATAAGTTTAATTTAATAACTAATTTAATGGGATTTTTAAAAAAAGTTTAGTTATATTTTATTTGTCGGTTTAAATTAATAAAATTTATTAATAATTATTCAATTAGTAGAATTTTTTAAAATAAATTAAAAATATAATAAATAAAAATAAATTAATTCGACAAATTAAGTCACGATTGTTTAACAAAAACATTTCTTTTTTATAAAATAAAAAGTATAACCTGCCCACTGAAAATTTAAGGGCCGCGGTATTATGACCGTGCAAAGGTAGCATAATCATTAGCCTTTTAATTAGAGGATTGTATGAATGGTTGAACGTGGCTTTGTTTTATTTATTTAAATATATTGAAATAAAATTTTAAGTGAAAATGCTTAAATGACTAATTAGACGATAAGACCCTATAGAGCTTTATATATGTATTCTGTTAAGTATTAAAATTTTTATTGGTTAATAACCAGGTTGTATATTTTATTGGGGCAATAAAAGAATAAAATTAACTTCTTATTAATAAATTTTATTTAATTAATTAACTTTTAATATAAAATTTAATAGAAGTTACCTTAGGGATAACAGCGTTATTAAAGTTGAGAGTTCTTATCGACACTTTAGATTGCGACCTCGATGTTGAATTAAAAATTCTTTGAGGGGCAGCATTTTTATTAGATGGTCTGTTCGACCATTAAATTTTTACATGATTTGAGTTCAAACCGGTGTGAGCCAGGTTGGTTTCTATCTTTTAGTTTAATTTTAGTGTTTTAGTACGAAAGGATTAAGCATTAAATTATTTATTTACTAAGTTGGCAGATTAGTGCAATTGATTTAGAATCTTTATATAAAATTAAATTTTACTTAGTAGTGTTTTTAAATTTATTTATAATAATTTTTTCTTATTTATTTTTAGTGGTTGGGGTTTTGGTTAGAGTAGCATTTATAGTGTTATTTGAGCGTAAAATTTTAGGTTACATTCAAATTCGTAAGGGTCCTAATAAGGTTGGCTTCACTGGAATTTTACAATCTTTTGGGGATGCAATTAAATTATTTATTAAAGAGCAAACTATCCCTCTTCTTTCTAATTTAATTCCTTTTTATTTTGCCCCAGTTTTTTCTCTATTTATGGTTATTTTGCTTTGAAGAGTTGTTCCACTTAGTTCTTCTTTTATTAATTTTTATTTAGGGGGTTTATTTTTTTTTTGTTGTACTAGATTTGGTGTTTACACTTTAATGGCCAGAGGGTGGTCATCTAATAGAAATTATGCTTTACTTGGCGCAACCCGTGGGTGGCGCAAACAATTTCATATGAAGTCAGAATAGCTTTAATTTTTTTGTCTTTTATTTTTGTGACTGGTTCTTTTAATTTGAATGAATTTCATTTATACCAAAGTTTAGTTTGATTTATCTTAGTGTCATTTCCTATTTTTTTATGCTGGCTAGGTTCTATTCTTGCGGAAACTAATCGCAAAATGGTCCTATTCAACTGATCATAGTTTAATACTTCATGAGACCATAATTACATATATTACCTTTTTCTCGAATACTTCCTCTCATCATAATGAAATCCAAGTTGTTTAAAGGTTTTTTAAATCTAATGTTTCAATGCGATCTTAACGTGTATTATCAATTCTGCAAACAATCGAGTACTTATGAACAACGAAAGCACAAAGCACGTATGTATTACGATCGAGAATATAATAAGTGCCTTTTACAGATATACTCTTTTGCTCACAATAAAGTACTTCGTTGTCCATAAGTACTCGATTTTTCAAGAGGTGATAATTAAGATCGCTGTGAAACATTAAAAAAAATATAAATTAAAAAAATACTATAGTATTTTGTTTAATTTATCCGCGGAGATGAGAGGAAGTATTGGGGAAAAAAAGTATTAATTATGATCGCAAAATGTATTAAATTATGTATGATCAGTTAAACATACCTCGTTCCGAAATTAATTTTGTGTATTTTTGTCACTTGAAACCTGTAATGCCCCTTATTTATTCCTGGTTTTCAAAACTTACAGTATTAATCAAATAAACTACTTAGCTGCCATCAAACAACTTCGTCTCAGGTATGACAGCTGTTTTCAGCTTTTAGAATATAGTTTTAGGCCAAAACACAGTTAAAACCCATTAAAACCCAAATAAAACGCATTAAAACCCAAATAAAACCCATTTAACATGGTAAAACCCGTTGGGTTTTATTCATTAACAACCCATGTATGTATGTATGTATTATGTATGTATTATGTGAGGAGGATTCCTACCCATGGGGGTAGACATCCAGCTGCGCAGGTCACCAGTTGGACCTATTGCAGACACCTCAATGCATTCGCATGCGATTATTGTGTCGGAGCCTCTCTCGATTCCCCAGCTACAAAGCTGGCGAATCTGCCAGACCTTAAAAAGGCCAGCACATCTTTGAGAGGATACTCCCATACTTCCTCCATCTTTAAGCTAGAACGAAGGAAGGTACTAAATCTCAGGGCACTGTAAGCGGGACAGTCTGTAAGTATATGAGCCATTGTCTCGTCCCCTTCCCCGCATTCTTCGCAGATGGGAGATTCAACTAGACCCATCTTATACAGATGCCCATTCAAATTACAGTGTCCTGTGATGGCAAAAGTTGTTAGCCTCATACTATCCCTCGTGGGCCCAAGTGATTTCCCACTTAATTAAACATTGATAAATTGCATGAGCTGCATTGTCCATGTATATAGTTCCGTTTGAGCAAAGTGTAGTAATAATTTATCACAGATTGTCACACAGCTTGATTCTTTTGCCAACCGAGCAATTATGTAGAACCTTTTACGGATAAGCATTTGTATTTCACAGTCCGAAATTAAAAACGGCCTTCGTCCATGGAATGCATGTCATGGGGAAATAATCTAAGCTTATGTACGTTACCACAACCATGCATCTGTATACATATGTTATGTACATCGTAAGACTAAGACCACGCATGTCATCCTTATGAAAATTAGCTTTGCAGCACAAAAAGCATTTATGTTTTGAGAATTATTTTTACAAGAAAAGACCTTGACCATGACATAGGGGCCGTCCATAAATTACGTAACGCAAAAATCGCGATTTTCCAGACTCCCTTTTAGCATGGCATGGGTAAGATATATTTAGATCAGTGTTTCTGCTGTTAAAAACACCTGCACGAAATTAGTGCATAAAAATGTTTTTAAATGTTTAATAACACCCATCAAAAATCCGAAAAAGTGCATGAAAATGCATGAAAATGCACGAAAATCATTTACGTGCAAATAATATTAGAATAATGTAATTTTTCCAAATATTCGATTAATTGAGAAGCCTTTGTGCAACTGTACGGTATTTTCTTCATCTTTTTAGTATTTTGGTGTAAAACTATTTTTCATTTTTGGGTAAGCCCTGACTCAGATTAGAAAGTGTGGTAAAATTTCAAACCATTTAGATAACTTAATCTCACAACGATTTTATAGGGTAAAGAAATACAATATTCGTTGAAAATATGAAAATCCCCCCATAAATTGCATTTCATTTATTATTATGCATTTTTACACATTTTCGTGCATTCTTATGCGTTTTTATGCATTTGTGTACATTTTTATGCACCATGCATGCATAAAAATAATTTCGTGCGCACAAAAAGAAACACTGATTTAGATATCATTGTATCACAATATCATTGTAGCCTAAACTCCCCCTTCCCCTCTTGTGCTACGTAATTTAGTGTCGGTCCCTTATTTATGTACATGGCAGGAAAAAATTTCGATTTGGCCTTTCGTTCGTTAAATATTTATGTCAGCTGGACATTCACTTTCACCACATGAGTTACATAAGCAAACAATTCAGCTAATTAATTCATTGCCTAAGTACTGCAACCTGTTCTACAATATGTGTTACCTACATATGCACTAATAATGAATAGCGGGGTGAGAAATTCGTCAAAACTTCGCGTGTCTGACTATAAATCAAAAATAAACATAGTTACTCCATGGTGGAATACCTGTATTGGCAGGGCCAACTTTGAGAACTTACAATTAAGTAAGTTGGACCAATAGACCCGATGTTCATTCTGAGCCCATTGTTTTATTGCAAATTTTCCAATTGCTGAGTTGACAGGGATAACTGGCTCTGGACCGCATGTTGTTATACTAGCAGCCTCTTTAGCCAGCTTATCCACGTCTTCATTACCCCATAAACCCCAATGGGAAGGGATCCAATGTAAGGTAATGTCTTTGTGAATGCTCAATTGCTGCAGCGCCCTATGAAGCTCAACCGTGAGGGAGGAAACCAGCCGCTCACTAAGAAGAGAATCAAGGACACTGCGATTGTCAACAAAGATATTCACTTCCTTGTGTAGACTTGGATTTTCTGACATGTAGTTACACGCCGAAAGAACCCCAATCTGTTCAGCCTGGAAGACCGTAGCATATTTACCCAGAGGTGTAACGCCACTAGCCCCATCCATGAAGTTACCACCTTCACCAATTATGAAGGCCCATTCAACAACTCATTAAAACCCATTAAAACCCAAAAAACCCAACCCAATAAAACCCTGGGTCGGAATACCCTGGTTGCAGACAAACATTTCCAGCTTATGATATAGATTATTACCAGATCAAAACCAGTATGGAATATGTATGAGAAGTTGAATTTGTTCTGCGTGTCACCTGATTTGCATAAATAATAATGGGATAGTTACATATTAACGACGTCAGGTCAGTTTGGTGGTACATGAGTTTTTGACACATTATATTCGATTGCCAACAAAATAAATATTTGCTTATTATAATCAGTACCAGAAAATATTTAGAGCATTACAAAAAGTACTCCGCGAGTGACTATTCATGTACATATTCATTATTATTATATGTTGATTTCTGTCACGAATGCGTCAAAATATGCAAATAAGGTGATCCGTACGAAAAACATGTGACTAATCCTTACGGTATAAATATATCTAACGGTTGATACATACATATTAATTTTCCTTCAGAAATGGCTCTTCGTAGCGTTCGACTGTTTCCTGGCGGGGATGGCTTGGCGGCTGTACAGCAGTCCACGAAGCTCAATCAAGTACCGGAACTACTTTGACTTAACCATGATGGGTATTCATTGGGCGATCTTATTAACCTTTGCGACTCCATGGACCATACTATTCGGAATTTGGGTTGGTGGAACGTATCTTTTTGGACACTTTGCCCTTTCCCATAGTCGTCTTCCCGTCGCCAAGAAGCAAACGCACTGGGTCGAGTATGCCTTTCGACACACGGCGAATATCAAGTCGTCCCTGTGGATTGATTGGTGGATGGGTTATGTCAACTTTGAAGTCGTGCATCACCTCTTCCCAACCGTTCCGCCGTTCCGTTCGTACTTAGTCAGGGAGAAAGTTATGGCTTTGGCGGCCAAGTATGATCTGACGTACAATGAGTTTTCCTATGGGGAAGCGTGGGCACAAAATTTAAGGAATTTGGATGAAGTGGCTAAACATTTTAAGATGTAGGACAATATTTAAACTTAATTTTGAAATTGATAAATATATGTTTCCTAATAAAAAGCGTAGGAAAATTTGTAAAATTATTGGCAACTAACAATGCGATGCCGTGAAGTGTTCATCGCCAATCTTGATGAGACTAACTTTATTTTGTAGTTAAGCTAATATTATTAAACAGTTGTTTTGTCATTTTCGATAATGCTCAACATATTTCTCACAATTTGACCTCAAAGTTGAAAAAAATGCTCATTTTCACAAGGCGAGGTCAATCACTTTCACGCTCAACTCGCTCACTCTCGCTCAGCCCGGTTTCTCACTCAACTCGCATTTTTCGCTTTTGCTTTCTTTAAAACTTTATTACATTTTAATACAATACATTTTAATTCAATAAATGCCAACGATTATTAATTATATGGACTTTTAGTACAACTACTCATGTGATAATTAATATAAAAATGATTAAAACAAAAAGAAAATTTGCACCAACTGCAACTAATGAATGGAACAACAGTACAGTCAAATACGCTACAATCAGTCCCTTTGGATTGAAAACAAACTTCACTGACATTTTTAAAGTTAGGTTTTTCACCATCAGCCCACAACCCACTCGAGTACCAACAATAACGAATCATTGGTAAAAACACTGGTGCACTTAAGAGAAAGTGAACCAATGACTGGAGTTTTAAAATTCCATTACGTGTGCACAATTCTGACAATTCTTGTTCATGAGGACAATGCAAGGAGTCAAAGTAGTAAAACTGTTTTACAATAAATTTCAACTGTCGATGAAAATACGTATCCAATGGTTGGCAAAGGTCCGTGCAGCCTTCCGGAACAAATTTTAGATTGAAGTCGAAGGTCTCTTTATCTTCAAACCTTTCGTCGTACAACTGCATATTAGTTTGTCCAGTCCAATTGTCCAATATATAAAGAATTTGATTATATTCAGCATGTGGCACGACCATTCTGTCCAAAAAATCCGCTACTAAAGTGTTGCTTAATTTTCCTGATTTGCTTGAAGCAATGACTAAATTTGGGGCAGTAAATATACTTCTTTGTACTACGGGGCCAAATGTTCCACCTATTTCCTATTTAAAATTATGTTAGATAAAAATCTAGTTATCAGTACAGAGTCGAAATTAATTTAAAGTCCACATACTTGTAAACAAACATACACCTGAGGAAGAATTGAGCCATTATAGGCAATAATATATTGGACGGTGTACGAATGCGTGACCTTATTCTTCGGTGAGAATGCAGTCCCGATGGTTGTTCTTTCTCCTTTCCATGTTAAAGTTCGATTAGACAAAATTTCGTACTTAAATCCAGTTTGGTCCGTGTTCCAGATATTTTCTTTTTCATAAATATTCAATAGTGGTTGGATATGGTGTCGAAAATTTTCTGTTTGTTGAAGAATTTGGTCCATCTCCTTCACTGTTGATCTCTTGACAAGTTTTTGAACTTTTCTAGATGAAATTCTATTTCGTCGTTTGAACGTGCTGATCCATGTATCGCAAGCTTTAAAATTAAAGCCAGGATACTCCTTTGCCTTTATTAAAGCCCATCGTCTAATGTCGATTGTGTGTATAGGAAGAAATCCAGTCCTAGCTTCTCGAAACCGTTCAAGAACAAAGTTTTCAATCTCACGCATTATTGTGAACTTGGTACCACCTAATATCATTGTATTCATAATAAGTTCATTTTGTCATATCTCATTTATGAATAAAGTTATAAAACCGATTTACCCATATCGATTTGATCTCTCCATCTCATAATATAATTATGGTGTTTAACATTTTTGAATTGTTGCCGAAATGTGCGAAATTTCCAGGCCTTGTTGTTGTTGAATATTTCTACTGCTTTCTTCTTGTATTCCATACTCACATCGTCATCCACAATCTTTAAACCATTTTCATCTATGTATGGTTCCAAACTACAAAGTACTTCATCAGCATCTATAAAGTAATAAATATAGTGTACCCGTGATAATGTTTAAAAAAAATTGGTCATCAAACAATTCGAAATAGCATACCGTTGGTAAATTCCTCATCTTTTACGAATACATAGTCATGTACTAATTCGCACAATTTATCAAGTAGTAGGTTGCCAATTACAATTTCTTCATCCGTTGGTTCCCTATACTCATAACTAAAGTATTCTTCGATTTTTACAACTAATATTTTTGATACACAGAGTAAGTTAATACTATCCATTCTAATAATAAATTATTGTTAACGAGTAATAATAATCCTTTAATGAAAATAATGAGACGAATTACAAAAAAAATCCTAAAAGTTCAGACTGGAGTGAGTTGAGTGGAAGGCTGGAAGAGTTGAGCGAGTTGGGCATGAAAGTGATTGACCTCGCCCAGTGAAAATGAGCATTTTTTTCAACTTTGAGGTCAAATTGTGAGAAATATGTTGAGCATTATCGAAAATGACAAAACAACTGTTTAATAATATTAGTTTAACTACAAAATAAAGTTAGTCTCATCAAGATTTGCGATAAACACTTCACGGCATCGCATTGTAAGTAAGTTTACGGGAAATTTCGAGCATTTTTGGGAAATTTTTGAAAGTTTTTCATACCACGGTGTGCCGAAATATCTAAGATAACAGAATAAAACTCCACCTTAACTTGCTATATAAATATGTAAGTAACTGGTTTATTTTCCTATCCAGCATAAATTATTTGACCCGAATTTCTTTACACATAATTTGTCCGGGTTTGTATAAGGGCTAACACCAATTTTGCCAGTTTTAACTAATTTTTTTCTAAGCTGACGCATTGACAACACTTCAGATTAGATCCGTAAAAATTTGATTTTTTTAGAAATATGACGCCAATTTGGAAGCATACGTTACCACCGCATTTTTCAAACTGGAGTACCACGAACTTGTACAGGATTTTGTAACTGATGAAAATTGCGTCCAAAATTCTTGCGTCCACTGAATTCCCACCATGTTCATCACTTTGCTCATTTGGATTGGTCCAAAATGCAAAATTGCAAAATTGCATGCAAAATTTTGCATTTTATTCAAAATTCTGTCATTGACATTCAAATGGTCAGGTTATTCCGAGAAATAAAATATAAAAAGCAATTATGTATCAAGAAAATTAAGCAATTCTATTCAGACTTATAATAAATTTGTACTTGAGTTACAACAAACATATTTTACAAAAGTATATCATCAAATGTTACACAAAGGGGCAACGTCATGCACAACATTTTGAGTAACAATGACGCCATAAGTTTCATGAATGAGAGTTATTGATTAAAGTAGTTAAAATTACGAATTTGTGTAGTTTTACGTGAAACCCATTTAAATCTACGCAATTTATTCTATATAAGTCCATGGATAAATATGTTGGAATTGATATTTAAATGCCCTATATAACTTTTCTCCGTATTGTTATGCATAAACTTCACCAGGCGTCATAATAAAATAATGTCGCTATCTGTGCACAAAATTAGTCCATATAATACATACGTACATACATATATAATTTCCGTCTCCATAATCCATCCTATAGGATGAATGCACATTAATAATTGCGAAGCTTAAGTAAATATATTTATTTAAGTCACAGCTAACAAGGGAATCACCTCGAGTCACCTCAAACGCTATAGGGACTTCGAAAATATTTAATAATTCAAGTGGATACATACCGGATGTTGACTAAAGATTGATTAGGTGTCCCACTGGAAAGTCTCGCGGATATATTTTATTGGTAACTCAATAACTGATGAAAATGATACGTTTTACGTTTCCATATTACATAAAAATTACTACTTATATTGGTACAAAGGGGTTTTAAATTGTAAATTTGGTTTTTTATTTTCCGAAATTTCGAAAATATATTACTTCCGTTCACCATAATGTACTCAACCAAATTTCTGCCTTGGTTAATTCGTCATTTTAAATTCTCCCGCCTGATAAATTGTCTGCCCTTCGAATTTGACACGCAACCAGGAAAAATTACGGGCATAACATCAAAGTGGCGAATTCGAGTGTGCCAAATACAATCCATCCTGGGATTTGCGTACTGGCTTATACTCCTCCATCATTTCTGCTTCGGTCAAGGCACGATGCTGAAAAAATTGCAGGGATTTCCATTTCTTATCTGCTTCACAATCCTGATCGGTTGCGGATTTTGCGTTGATCAGGATGTTGCTCCGATTCAAATGATCAACTCTATACTCAACTTTGAAAAACGTCTTCTCAAAAGTCCCTATTTCATTGAGTTATAATGGAAAGATCGAAGAAAATGTTTGCTTTATTTGTCAATATTCCGAATGCTGTCGGCCATTCATGATCAGAAATTAGTGGTTAAAATTAGTTTGTGGTTAAAATTGTTCTCATGTTTGTGGCGTTGGGTACTGGGGTCACATTTTGAAGTGATGAAAAATTAATATTCCTTCATATGTGTGGTACCTATTTACGCATTTTTTATGAAATGCTACACTCTAAGAAATTTTATCACAGACAGGGGACTATTAAAATAAACCGTAGTAACGTTAGAAGTAGCTCACCCTGAAATATTAATTAGGACATTACTTTGCACCAAAGGTGCCAACTAAGCGCACAAAATAAGTATACAATTTCTATAATTTTCCATCAAAGGTGCATTATAATTGGACAACATAGGTGTAGAATTTTGTACAATTTTGCACCTATAGTGTAGAATAAGGCGATAAAATAAATATCTAATTCTGACACAATTTCGATTTTTGTCCGGAAACCATGAAATTGTGGTGACAAATTTTTGAAATTATTTCTTCAAGTTATTCGGCACTTTTGGTGCGTTTTGGATGAATGCTACCAATTGTTTCGCATCATTTTGAACAACCGATTGTTCGACACTAACAGTGCCACTTATTCCAAAATTGTAGTCCTTTCTCGATCTATTTGCACAATTGATTCGCACCATTTGGCTTACGGATTGTTCGATACCAAAGGTGCGAATAAATTAATCAATAATGGACAAGGGGATTTTTAATTAGCATCAATTGATGCAAAAAACTCGTGAATACACAGACGGACAGACGGACAGACGGACAAGAGGAATTCAATAGCTCCCGTGCTACGCAGGGTGAGCTAATAACCCTAAATGTATACCGCGTATAAATTTTGTTTATTGTCGCTCTGCCCAATCTTTGAGTGCAGGGTGTAGTCTCACTCTAAATATATTTAGTTTTGTCAAGTCTTAAGCATTGGGTAAATTTGACATTATATACCTTCTGTAATAACCTGCCACCAGATAGAAACCTGTAACGGAACATAAATTTATCATCGAAATGCCGTAGATTTTTGAAAATTTCGTGCTGGATATACCGTTTAAAATGTGTTCAACCCTTGAAACTTTGTAATTTTAGATGGTGAAAGCATGAAGATGTCGCTGGCAGAAAAGGGTATGGGCGCTTTCACAAGGACTTACGAGCTTACCGAGATCTTGATTCCGTTCGCAATAGTTTTCCTTCTAACCATGGATCCCTGCACGCCGCCATTTCTGCTCTCCACTTCAGAGCAATGCCACGAAATTAGTTTGATGAAGTTTGGTCCGGAAATATTCATTGTTCTGATTGAAGCCTGGTTGGTTGTACAAATTTTATGTGCCGGAACGCCATGGATGTTTTACATCCTTGCCCCTGGAATTGTTGGACTCCTCAACTACTTCCAACTTTTGAAAGGGTAAAGCTGTTTGTTTATTTTGTAAAATCTTTATCTATTAAAGTAAAGCATTATTTTATTAAATATGTATGTATCTAGTATGTATGCAAGTTTCTGGAAGCTGCACTGTTAAAATACGCGTTTGAGAATTTTTTCAATACGAAATCAAACTGTGCTAAATCCATAGTAAACCTTACCCTTCATCCAGTTAACTTCACCATTAATTTAGAATAACTAGTCTACGTGATATTTAATTCAGAGTGCATTTATTTTTCAAAGTGATAACAATGTTTTTAACAGTTTTCTTTAAGTAGAATTTATCTGAATTTCTAGCGAGACAATGTTCCCTTTCCCTACAGAAACATTCAAGTTTTGGAGAAGTACCTGAATGGATTCCTCATGTTGCGGGTGGTTCCCTCAGTTGTTGGACTGATCCCCATGCTGCAAATTGTTTTTCAGTTCGTCTGCATTAAGCTTCACGGGAAAATTGCGATGCCTGGTTTTCTCATCTTTCCCCTAATTCTGCTTGACGCCGTGGTCACGAATGCGTTTGTCTTCACATTGGCCTCAAGGGTGAACAGTACATCAACTGAAGTGTTGGAAATGCAGGTTAGGCACTCGGTCCAACTTGGCGCGAAGCGATCCGTACTCGAGAGATCAAGGCCTGCAGCGTCCTCAATATAAAATTCGGCTCGAACTTCATTGATAATGGAACACCGCTTGTAATTCAGGATTTCTGTTTGAATCAAACCTTAAGTCTGCTTCTCATCAGTGCATGATTACGTGCACGCTAGTCGAAATCTTCAATAGTGACATGCATACGTATTGATTTCCCTGTAGTTATGTTGCTACCGCTTGGTGGTAAATACAATGGACCGTGAACCGAAGTTTGTTACGGATATGATGAAACTTTAATATCTAACTATAACTAGACTTTTCGTCAATGCCACTATGCTAAAGTCATCTGTGAATAGTGCTTGATGTTATTTTAATAATCGATTCGTAAGGGTGTTCCACTGTTCTGGTTGACGTTAAACGTCTTTTGTTGAAGCACTTCAGGATCTTCAGGATCAGGATCAGGATCAGGATCAGGATCAAGTAGATTAACATGGGTCCCTTTATTAGTTTAACATGGCCGTTTTGATCGCCAAATTTAGTAAATAAATACGTAGGAAAACTCATGCTCCCTCTAAATATCTATGTATGAGTGGAGCTTTTCGTCCAGCCTAAAATTATATTCTATTTCGTAGTGATATACTACTATCTACTTCGTCGTCCGTAGAGCGCTTCCTGACCCTAAAGTTTATGCATTTGACACTTCTTCTGCGGGATTATAACTCACTGGCTAAATCAGTAAATACATATTACATAGGAACAAGTGTTTTAGTCAGAAAAAATCACAATTCCCTGTCCGACACTTTTGCACATTATGAAGTTTAGCGTACCGAATTTTGTACAAAATTTCGACTGTGTTTATCTAAACTATTTATACGCACCACCATGTCCAATTATAAAAAGCCATACAAGGAGCGATGCTTAAACCTTTGTAAGGGTAAAGCCTTAATGAAAAAATAGCGATGACCATGGCGGAGGCTAATCTAAAAAATTTGAACCATAACCTTCGGGTCAACACATTGCATGAATTATTCCGACATATGATTTTGCTTTTAGAAATGCGAATTTTATGACAAATTGAATCATTTCTGTAGTTCCTAACTGCATTTATGCGTTCGTTTTTCATCGTGTTGTTTCCAAACGGGGAATGTTTCTTTCGTCTTATTTATGTACTTCTGTGGAAAAATAGCAACGTATGTATGTATGTATGTATGTATTTGTATATCAGCGGTATACTTGATGGTTTAAATAAATGTTTGTAAGTCACGCAAAGTGTCAGTAATTAACCAAGTGGTACAATTAACTTAATGAAATTCGTGTATTTATTCTCTCACGCAACATTTAATTAGCAAATTAAGTAGAACTCTACTCCAGCCATCTTAGTAAAGCTAGGCATACTAAATATTTATTCCTTGTTTTGTAATATAGATATGAATGTATTCCCGAGTAAAATGTTGTGGCAGATTGTACATAATTCGACAAAACCATTATGCTTAATATTTTACGAATAAAATTTTCTGGCGGTTTATGCAGAAAGGAGGTAATCGGTTTTGTCGAATAAATTATGCATAGAGATCCATAGCGTTTTATGCATGGCATGTAAGCCCAAAAAAATATGCAGAAATTTGTTCCCCTTTTATGAGTAAAGTTTTTGTCGTAATTCTTAATGCGAAACTGTGTGGAAAAACATTATTTTTTCTACAAGGTTCTTCTTTATTCCAACTCTACATTATTCATCATTCGTGTTAGTGAGCGTAATTCACCACCAGCATCATACAACCATAAAAATTTCCAGAGATCAATTTTATCCATTGGCAATATTCTAAGATTGTTGCTCACGGCCTGAACTTGAAAAGAATCCAGTGATAGTTTTGAAGGTAGTATGCTGCACTTTTTCACAAACATTAACGGGTGTATATATTCACTAAGTAATATTATCTTATATATGACAAAAACTGGTCACCACTTCGAATTACTGAATTAACTCCCTTTTTGGTATCTCTTTGCGCCGTGTTAAAATACTTTCCTGCTATTAAACATGAGTTATAGGAAATTCCTTGTGTTTCTAAACATCCCAATCGTGACATTTTGTTTCTTTCATTATTACTAAAGATATACAATTTTCCAGTCCCAAACACAGTGCAACAACCAGCGGTGAATGACTTCTTGAAATGCTTGATATTTTCTGTGAACGATAAGTGAAGCGATTTTGCTTCCGAATTTCTAAAGCTACATTCAGCCGTCGAGAGCAAACGCTGAGTAACCACTGTTCGTTTCACGATTTGCATTCCGACTTGTCTTGTTCCGCAGAAGCTATTAGTCAGAACACCGTTGAAGTTTTCAAATTGAAATAGGGAGTAACTCCAAAGCGGACCCCAATTTTGTACACATTCCGCGGCATGAAGCAACAAATGGGCATTGAACGAGCAAAATCGGTCGCCATACAAATCAGGGATCGAAAAGCAAAATTTTTTGAGTAACGTATGAGGTATTTCGGTATCGGTCACAATATCTTGGCAAAGAAGATATACTGCGTTCACCAGTTTTGAAAAATGTTTAAGATAACAACTTGGCAGGATTCCCTTCAACAAATGAGTAGCCGTTAGCATCCATAATTTCCACTCGCTTGCTTTCCAGTATTTCATTTCACTTGTCTCCCGAAGATGTCTTCTACAGTTTTGGGGAAATTTTAGGGATAAGATCATATTATTTATTTCTACATTTTTGTTGTCGATATAGAATGGCTCCTGATGATTTTTAGAATCCATCCAAGCATATGTGAAGGATCTGACAACTCCCAACAAAACAGTGTGCATGTAATCGAAGACGAATCCCCAAACGATGTCAAATTTTGGCACCATCAGTAATTTCGATGCGGTTTTAATTCCATAATTAGATGTGATACGTTCTCCACCCATAAGTGTGTCACGGAATTCTGACAAGTGTTGGCAGAATTGTTGGTGACTTCTTTTGACATTGTTGTTTGATGGGATGAATATCCACTTGTGACGTCCTTGTCCAAGTGATAAGGACTCCCCCCGAGCGAGACACCATGGGCAACTATGTTCCCCGTTGAATTGACTGATTCCCTGCAGTTGACATCGAGCTACCGAATCGGCTGCCAGTAAGGGAAAGTATACACGACTGTATTTTTTAACATCTTTGAACATCCAATTAACGCCATTTATTGACAATTTTATTGCTTGCTGGATAAAGGGTGCTAGAAAAATATCGAAATTTGGTTTTTCATCACCAAACCACAAACCACAAAGTATAGTGTATTTTCTTCTCAGTTGATAATCCAGCTCGTTAATAGATATTAGTAGAGGCCAAATGCTGTATTTTGAGCTATTGAATATGGCGACGCCATCCGTATTGATGCAGCAACTTATGTCGTTGTCCTTCAAACCGAGCCTGTGGTACATATCGCCATTCATGATATCTCGTATCTCGGACACCGCACCAATCTGTCTTCTAGTCAAATTTTCTGCCAAAGATTTCTGTATGGTTTGAATTTGTAACAAATCTTGTAGGGACTTGTTAATATCAAAAGAAACGAAAAAGTTGCCCCTGGTTAAACACGTCGAGAAGGTAGTCGGAACTTGACATTTGCCACATTTAGAATCGTCCTCCTTGATTTCAACTTTGCAGTCTTTGCAGTAAGCTACCTTCTGAATTCGGCTGTAATCTCCTCCGATTTCTTTATCAAATAAATACGTGGATGTTGGAATACTAACGCCATGAGGAAGATGGAAATTTATTAAGTTTAGAATGTCTGACAGTGCTGCCTTGCTAACTTTATGTCGAATTGAGTATCCCAGAATTAAGAGACTGCTTTCTTTCCGAGATATTCGTGCTCCTGTGTACAGTCCTTGAACTTCGACCCAAAAGTAATTATTATTTGTATGCTACCATCTTATAATAAAAGAAAACATGTTTTTGTAAATTAAATCTCACTTCATGCTCGCTAAATAAATCACTGGAATCGGAGTCATCCTCGTTTGTGTCACACGACTCGTTTCCTAACTCCAATTCCGGTGGAATTTCAAATTAAGTAGGGATATTATTTCCCGGTACAGCTTTCAGATAAGTCTGTAAAAAATTAAAATGTTTTACGAACTAAAAAATGTATTTACAGTCAATAAATTGCACAATTGAGTACCTTAGCAGCCTTCTTCCTGTATCGTGTTCGTTGAGGAATATTTGATAAGGCACTATCTCCCGAGCACGAGAAATATTTTTTATAAGATTTTCTGCTTGACATTTTGGTATATATTTTAATTATTCGTGAGTTTTCTCTTCGATAAAGCAAATTTGAACATTTCTCTCGCGAACGGGGTAAGTGTGGAATGACGGCAACGCGGTTTACCCAAGCTGCACGACGAAATCATGTGTTTATATTTCGTTGGCTCCTTCACTCAGTCCATTTTTTTGAGTTGCTAAAATTAAGTAATAGATAACTTCAAATTTCTGTCGAAATTAAAAATGACCTTCCTATTGGTAGAGTGGGTGTCAAAAAAGGTTCCAAAAGAATATTCAGTAGTTCCGGCGGAAAGTATTGAGGACGGAGCTATTCGGCAAAATGCGAAATCTCTAATAAACCAAATTGTGAGTATAATTTGGAAAAAAGGAAAAATTTTCCCTGCCGTGATTTTGGAAACAGGTGAGTTGTATGAATTTATTATACAATTTTATATCATGTCAAATGAAGTAATTTATTACACCGCATTTAATTGATCATAGGGGACGATGAAAAGCATCTCTGGGAACGGGCAGACTTCTACGGCGAAACAACAAAAGTTGGAGACATTTCGACAAATAAGCGAAGTCATGAAATTCTGGAAGTGCCTGTGAAGAAAAAGGTAACACGTTTTGCATTTGAGTTTCTACTCACCATCGGACCTTAATTAACTGTTTATTTCTTTCTTAGGGAAGCAAGCCCGATTAGTAGCCGGTCGAGAACGAGCAAATGCCATCCAAGTCGTCCTTGACTCTCTAGAATCGGACCAAATTATTGACCTAAATCCTGACACAAATTCGTCCGTACAAACTCCTACTATCGGTGATGAGGAAGAAGGTCCGACCTTGGGCGAAGGAACGACAAACTTTAAGGGTGATTTAGTCATAGCTTAAACGTTTTTATTAGTTTTAATATTTGCAACATAATTTGCAACAGAAAAGTACCAGTCCTTGAAGGAGAAGCACAAACGGCTGAAGCAGAAATACAGAGAATTGAAGCGCAGATTTGATCAAAGTGATAATGTAAGCGATGTTTTTTTTAAATTCTAGATCCCTAAATAAGCTTGTAGAAATATATTATCCTCCTTATTTTTATAAATATATACAGAACATAGAGCTTTTCGATGGATCAGATGTAAGGATCGAGTCTTCTGTGCTGGCGTCCATGAGAGTGATGTCACCAAAACCTACCATACTTGCAAGAAATCTCTTTAGACAGCTATTCTCTGCTGAGGAGCTATCCAACCACTCATTGTTTGGGAAGAAATCCAATGCTAATCGCGGAAGGGAGACGCTCCCGGAAATAGATAGTGTTCGAAGGGATGCCGTAATAAGTATGTCCACAAAATTGAGTAAACTATGTACATGATTGAAAATTCGATCCGTTTGCAAATAATTTTATATTGCAGATTTCATACTGAAAGACGAAGGCTTTGGTGAAGCGCCAGAGACGGGTAACCCAGCTGCTGACAAGGTCTTCATAAAAGCAAAGAAGACCCTAAAAAACGAGCTGCGGAAGACATTGTCTGAATTCCTCAGGGAGGAGAAGGCGAAGGCACGGGATGGTAACAATCAATAAATATTCTAATGATTATTGTTGTATATTACCCAATAATAAATTCCCTGAATAAAGATACAATCAAAGATATAAGTTATATCTTTGATGTATCTTTAATATTTTGTTATATCATATAACAAAATATTTCGTTATAATTCTTTATGCATAAAAACCAGCCAATTCTCGTACCAAAAATTTCGACATAATAAATTATGTACATTGCAACCGAAACAAATTAGTATGCATAACTAACTCGACATAACCAAATGGAATAAAATATTGTGCATAAACTTTCTTGCATAAAAACCAGCCAATTCTTGCTTTAATTCGGGCATAATTATGCAAATAATTTATGCATAAAAATACATGAAATTTTCACCCGGGTTACCAGTACATTATCTAAATTCCAAAATATGTTGAACAAACGTACAGTAAAATAAACATATAATTATTAATTAGAAACTCCAGAATATTTTCCAATTTTCAACAGAAATATATGTGCTAAAATTTGTTCATACATTTTATCTTGGAAACAGTTCTACATTACTGGTATGTAAATGTAGCTAAAAGCCTCCTTCCAAGATAAGCCAGTTCATCCCTTTTACCATAGAAAATGTGGGAGTATCTAATTTTTTCACTTTTACTTTCTGCAAAAGTTTCTAAAATTGGCGCCATTCCTTTAGCGTTAGACAGAACTTTGCGATGTTCACATTTTACACGATAAAACATTTTCACAAGAAATTTACGACCTATTTGCCACGCCATCTACCTTTTATCCAACTACTGTGGTCTTTATTACACCAATAATTAGCAACGTTTCATTGGAGTACATTCAAAGAAACAAGCAGCGATTGCAACTTGCTGTGGATATTTTGCAAAGCCGCCCCTTAACTTGTAAGATTAGTATTTTATTGTCAAACATATTGGCAGGAGACAATAGAAATTACCGTTTGAATAAACTTAAGTTTCTGCTTCAAGTCGCGACGACCTCACATATTCAATTTCTCGACAGAAATATAGACTCCCCAGTCCCAGAAAACTGGATATTTGTGACATCAACACAGCATGTGTACGTTGTACTGGTCGTATCTTCAAAAACTGTCGATTTAGTCAAGTCCAACAACCTTCTGGATTCAGCTCACTACCTCTTTTACCATGGACGAATTCAAAAATTTGCATTTTTATTAACAAAAGGGACAAGCAGGAACGAAGAATTGTGCGTCTTAATCCAAGGTAATAAACCCAGTCTACAAGGGACGATATGTAAAGAAATTAATTTCCATTCAAATAAAACCTCGTTAAGAAGTATTTACGATCAAATCTCGACTTCACCAAAATCCTGGCAGTTTATTGACTCATACACCACGGTGTCCTACGTGGGCGGAAATAACTATACGGAACCTAGCAGCAATCCATTCAATCGAACCAAAGATTTCAAGATAAATCTCTATTTGGCAAGAATTATTGCATAAAAATCCAATTGCACAATAATCACGTCATTTTTCGGTCGGAGTCACCTGTTTTTGCCGTCAATGACGTCTGAAGACAATATCGGAAAAGTTTTTTTGCTAAAAGGTTCAACACAGGTTATGACGAAATCTCGCGGTTTTCTATAGCTGTCGTGTTACAGTGAGAAATATATTTCGTTTGAATTTTACCTAACGCCGTTCAGAAGAATTTTGTGGTACACTTTATTAGGTACCTTATCTGTGACAATTTTAATTATGTCGGGTATTAAGAAATTGTATACAAAAGAGTTTGGAAATCCCTCCGCCATTCCCTGGCTTCCCTTGATCGCGATACTTTTCGATGATTCGACCTCCGTGCCCCGACAAATAGAAAAACGTCACTTTTACCGCACCATTTTTAGCGTTTGGGGTTTGGTCGCCATCCTCTTGACAAATTGTTACAGTGGGCTGCTTATTTCCGAACTGAACGCTCCTCTCCGTGGAAATAGACCAGAAACGTGGCAAGATTTATTTTGTAATAGGACGTACGTTCATTTAGTATCCAATGTACAGTATCCCTTGGAGGTGTCCGAGTGGAAAAAATTAGTCCAGTTTCAGAAATTATATGAATCCTGGTGGGACCAGCGTGGTTTGTTAGGATTCATTAACAATAATTGTTTCCGGTTATTCGACATCTTGAAAAATATAAAAAGCCCAGACTTCCCTTTTGTCCACTCTATTCGAAACTTGGAGCGTTTGTTTAGAGGGTTGCGAGAAGGAACACATTTAATCAGGAAGGAAGACGCTATTCATTTTTTTCTAGGTGATCCCCTGCACGCAAACTTAGAGCGAAAATGCACACTGATTCTGACATGTCTGAGTTTCAGAGATATGCTGAGGAGGAAGTCGTAATGTGCGGGAAGGTAGTATATGTCGGGGATATTGAACAAATTGAAACCCAACGGGAATATCTCATGTGGAAATATCCCCGTATAAGGTTTACCAAGGGAAATCATATCTTACAAGCCGGAATGGCTGGATGGTCATTTCAAGGTGGGGGTGGATCCAGTTTGCCCAGAAATTTTATTTGGGTCTTGGAATCTGGGATATACGGTCAACTAGAGGCCGAAAATATAGCTAGGATGTATTTGGACAGGAGCAAAGTTGACAATGTGACAGGACATGGAGTTGTGAAACCTTTAGTGATTTATGAAGGGTTGGCGACGCTTTTTATTTTGTGTGGTGGAACTTTGTGTTGTGCATTGATTAGTGTGATTTTAGAGGATTATGACAGAGTGTTAACTACAATGTTGGGTGCTGGAGTATTGATATTAACGAAGATGAAGAATTTTATTATTATATGCCTGCAAATATGTATGATAGATCGCTTACTTGTTTGTTTGTACACCGGTCGAATAATCCAAAACAAATTCATATCGTAAATATCACGCATCATAAGCCAGCGTATAGAAACAAATATGTATGCCAAACGAGCCTAAGATCCAAGAAATAATCAAAATTTTCTTCATGGTTCAAAATACACGTAAGCCGATACTTTACTCATTAGGAAGAACAATCAACACTTGGAAGAACAAAATCAGTAATGTTGTGACTGTACACGAATTTATAGATATATCTCTCAATTGTATATGTTAATTCAAATGAAACTACATATGTATCAACCACATTGTTCCAATCCTGTATGGCAACTTTCTTTACCATAGTTTACCTGGGTTTCAAAGTTATGAGTACAGACAACAATTTTCTCTATCTTAATTTTTCTACCGTGACATATTAACTATTCTCTACACTCTTAAAAACAATGCTGCCCTTTTAGATATTGCGTAACTACTTTACATCCATAGTACGCTTTACTCTATATCCAGTTAAAGGTTACTTTCAGTTTACTCTGAATTGTATACAGTTTCCTTAATATATATGTGTAGGATTTAGAGTGCATTTACCTAGCAAAAGGATAACATCATTTATAAGATTGTACATACAAATTAAATTCGGTTAGTACCAACTTTCCCTAATGTTAAAAATATGACGCCAACTTCAACGCATTTCAATTTTTAAGATTTTTATTGCCCAAAATAATTTTTGACCTTGGACAGGTTTGAGGTCTAAAATCATGACCGCGGCTAAATTCAAAAACTGTCAATTTACAAAAGCGTATGTTCGTAGTCTATATCACACTAAATCTAAGTAACATGATATCAATAATTATAATTATCCAGTTAATGAAATTTATTTATTTATTAAAAGAATGTCCCCATCCAAATGTCCTCATCCAAAAGTTAATGAATTAAATTATACTATATATTTGTGGATACTATATAATCCTTCTCGATCTAATTAAAGTCAAAGTCATGGTGCGATTCAGCACAAAGTTTTGTATAATCAACGGCGTCGTTCGATCGATAAAGTTTGATCCAAATTTTACCCTTAATGGTGTTAGGCTTCTCACTTGTCGTCTTGTTAACGCCTTGTTATCCAAAAATATTACCTTGGCGGTTATATATTTGAGAGCATCTTTCGATTCTTTTTGCACCCATGACGCCAGTGTGAAAGCTAACATGATAACCATCGCTGCATCCAGGGAAGCGAGCGGAAATAATAAAAACCCAAGGCCGGAAATGTCATGATGCAAATTTATACAGACAAATAATGCAACAATTTCTATCGCCGGGACGCAAATAATTAAACAGGGAAGAATTTTGTCCATGACGAATGAGTTAAACCATTTCTCCAATATTTGAATGGAACAGTATAATCGGATACAGTCATCTTTGTCTGATGGATTTCGGATGGTGGAAGTCTGCCTAAAAATTTGAAAACACAAACATGTAGCACACTTTAAAAGATAATTTTCTACAATCCCATCGAATGGTAAGTACACTCTGAATTCTATGTTACATAAACTGTAATAAATCTTCAGTAACGTTAACTTGATCAAACCTAAAATTTACTCTGGGTTTAGCATGGTTTAGTTAGGTTAGGTTAGGATGGGTTATGTAATATGTAAGTAATAGCACATTTATGCTCCAAATATTGTCAAATATCAACATTACAACTTTAATTTGCCATAGAAAAGTAATTCACATACCTTCTTAACACCTTAAGATAATTTAGCATGCAGTCTATCCACAACGAGGATATAGAGGATCCACATTGATCCAGAATACGTCATGTGCGAAAAATTCCACACCTCATATAAGTGGAGCAATACATTAATTGCTGCCATTATCATAGTTGTTTGGACAGGTTGGCAGTGAGGCAGCATGGACAATATAAATGGGGGTGTGCAAGGCGCAAAAGTGAGCAAGATGAAGATAAGAATGGGAAAGACGACGACAGAGATTTCACACAAGATTATGAATATTTTCATGATTTTTGTTCTTAAGAACACTGGTGATGTGTGAAATTCTGTAAATGACAAAAATATTATTATCACTTATATAATATCAGTAGATTTCTCAAAATTTCTGTACACCAGGAGTAGTTCTTTGTGACTTTTTGGAAAACTGTAGTGTGCAAATTTAATTTTTTATCTGATTTATTATATAGTGATGAAATCATGTATCGTGCCCCGGGGAGGTCATTTTCGATTATTCTTGGCACAGTGAGGTTAGCGTGAAATTAAAAAAATATTATGTTACACCTTACCTTGCATAGTGTTCCCTTCAAAATGTAATATCATGTTCAAAATTTCAATGGGCAAATTATCCAGAGAATAATTTAGCCTTGGTCTAGTCAGGCAAACGTATATCAAGAAGAACATAATCCCTAAAAACTTTCCAGTCAGGGTCAACTCTCTTAAGGTGATGGTGGTTAAGAACATTGCGATGCAGTGAAGCACTGAAAAAACGCATTGCAACTGGAAAATTTTTAAGTGACGGGGTTCCTTAATCTTAACAAATTGGCGTAGCTTTTCGTTCCACTCGAAGGGCAAACAGTTCAACAATCGACATGGTTTAAGGCGTATTTTAACCATCGGGAGGAACTCCATAGAAAACATTCCCCAGCCAAATATTCGGTTGCGAGGCTATTCTACTAATACCCGAATTCAGAAATAGTTGGTCCAAAGGAATTTCTGTATCGATTTCCATTTTGGGATAATTACAAATAATCTCGGCTTATGATCTTAATTGCTCTTATTTACACAACACTTCTCAGCAATCTTGAATAGCTCTTTAACTGTGGTCGATATCTACCTGTAAACTAGTGTATTACGTATCCAGTTTCCAGCGGACACTATGGGGTATTTCACTCAAAATAGCACACCAAAATGTAATTTATGGGCGGCCAGCATTAAACCATCCCCCACACGACAAGTGCCGCAACTCGAATAATCAGAATTTTGAGAATTACCATGATTAATAAGGACTTTTTATAAGGGCAAATTTTTATTTACGGCTATTCTCAGTCGCTCTCATCACGTGGTCAGCATATCGAGTTTGTATAACTGTTAGTAATGCCCTATTATCATACTTTATACGGTTAATAATCAACTCTGTGCGGTGGCAAAAAGGAGATGGGCGATCCATGAAGCAAATTTGCGACGATAACGGGATCGGGGAGGAGTATTATTCCACCCGGGCAAACCTATTTTTCAAAGGATTGAAGAAGTTTTCTCTGCAATTGAATACTTGTTCGTCAATCGGATCACCAGCCACACTGAGGGCGCCCTGGATGAAAACCCGGGCCGACGCGATTACCCGGGTGACCTCGATTTCTATGATAGGCGAAGATTTCCTGGGGTGAAAATTTGTCCAAGCTTTGCAAACCAGGGGAACTTTGCGGTATCAAAATTTGACAGAGATTCGACTAACTTGCAAGTCAGAGGATGGATAAATTTTCTCACCAGCCATTGAACCAGCCATTGAAGAAGATTACGTTGCTTCTGGAAAATCGATACCTTTCCGAATTTGAGGATTTGCTGAAAAAATTCGCTCCGTCCCTGGAATCGCTGAACTTTTGTGTCGTTACGGATGAATTGGCAGAAGAACCCCGTTTCGTTTTGAATCTTCCATGTTTTCCTAAATTGAGAAGTTTAGACGTGTATTTTGGAAGTTTAGAGAGACCGTTTGAGCGAAAACCGGAGGATGTATATTGAGATAAACCAGCCCAACCGTTCGACAAACGCAGTTTCCATTATTTAGCGAAAGGCAGAGTGAGACTCGGATTCTGGTGGGTATCCACCACCACGGCTGACTGTCGTTGCCAGTGCCGTATGGTGGTCCGTCTCACTTCTCACTCTCTTCAAATTGTTTACCGGGATTATGAACCAACTCGTGTTGAGATGCTTTTCATCTCTCACACGAGTGGTTCATTTTATAAAATTTGGATAAACTAAATTTGCTTATCTGAAAAATCGATAACTTCATTGATAAGCTTCAAAGCGTGAATTTTCGAGTGGATGTCACCATTGTACATTCAGAAAAGCTTAAGTTTTAAATTTTGGACGATTTGGATAAACTAAATTTTCTTATCTGAAAAATTGATAACTTGATTGATAAGCCTCAAAGCATTAATTTTCGAATGCACATCATCATTATAAATTCAGAAAGGCTTATGTTTTAAATTTGGGGCGATTTGAGGCTGTTTTAATGACTTCGGTAATTACGATTATGTATATCATAAGCAACCTTGCATTTGTTACGGCTCTTGCTGTGTAAGCCCCTCCCTCAGAAACTTTGACCCCAAAAAACTCATTGTTCCGGTCATTTTGAGTCGGGCAACAAAAGCTGAAAATGTAGCTTTTGTCAAGGAGAAAAATCTGGCATCAGGTTGTCAGACTCAAAATGACCGGAACAATGAGTTTTTTAGTGATTTATGTGTATGCAAAAAAACCGAGCCCGACTTCCGGGGATATTTCCGAACGTCCAGAACGAATGGATGGCCAGGTTGAGGGGGAAGATTGATAAGTAGGATATACATTTATCAAATTTGTTAATTAACCGCTGATTTGTGAAATAAGTAATTTAATTTAAATCTATTGTTTTTCCTTTAATGAAATTTGAAACAGTAGTTACACAATTTTGGGTGTTTTTTTACCTTACCTCTGTCATTTTCATTAGAGTAAGAATTAAATGATTCGACAAGCAGATCCGCCGACTATTTCAAAAGTAGAAATACTCTATTGCATTATGTTCCCCACATGAAAAGAATTAAAACTGAACAATTTACTCATAATTATGAGTATTCAGCCATTTATTTACATATGTACTCAAATGTTCAATACATAAATCTACATTACATAATATGACAAATTTACAATCTTGTCATGTTTTTATTTGATTTTGTTTTGATTGATTTTTCACATTTTCCAAACATGTATCCGTCTCACACAATAAAAACATCACCACTCTGATTTTGGGGCAAGTTGAGCCGTCTCAAATTTTTCTCACGACCTGCCAATCAAGCGCGCAGCTCAACCATCAATCCACGAGCACAGGTGAAGCGTTCATAAAATTAAAGGTAAGTGTGAATAAATTGTTAACCATAATTTTTCAGGCTGACTTATCACCCTTATCATCATTGCAGTACACGAAAACCAGTAGGAGCTGATAAGAGACGATAATGTCGGGGATTCTGTTTCTTTTTTTCTTTCTCCTTCTCTTGCCGAGAAGCCTTGCACAGGAGACGGGTAAGAAGAATTATAATTAATTGCATCTAATTAATTCATTAATTTTTAATTGGTGCACATATTTTTTATCTTTTTCAGCCCAATCCCCTCCCTCCATCGTGAACCAGCCCCCCGCAGGCGAGCTTCTTGTCCCAATCTATGATTTACTAGGAATGGTGTTTGGTTTGCCATTCACCCTGCCCTGCGAGGCGACAGGGGAACCCACCCCGACCTACATCTGGACAAAAAATGGGGCCCCATTTAACTGGCAGGAGACAGGACGATATTCACAAACCCCCGGCAGCGGCACCTTGTACGTGGACTCTCCAAGGGATGAAGACATGGGGCACTACCAGTGCTTCGCCAAGAACGAGGTGGTTAAAGAAATATTAATTAATTACTTTGTACACTCTTAAAAATAATGTAATGATACCCTTTTGAAGCGTAAATGCACTCTGAATTCTAAATTAAGTGACTCTTCAAAAGCCTGTAAGTTACGAATTGTAACGATTTTTAATCATGTTTTTATCTTGCACAGCTTGGGGTCGCGACGAGCAACGCCGTCTTGGTGAGGAAGTCGGAGATGGACCCATTTCTGCGGATGGAACGTCGCACTTTCGTCGTGGAAGAGGGCAGCCCCTTGAATTTGACGTGCCATGCGCCATACGCATATCCCAAACCGACGCTTTACTGGGTCTTGGTGGTAAGTTGAAGAAGAAGTAGTTGAAAAAATTTAGTAACTATTAAAGGTTGAAAGAGGTTTGATTCCTTTGTTAACTTGCGCCAATTTTATAACTTAAATAGCGCACAGGTTACCAATGACTGAAGTATGAATGCATAAGAGTGACAAATTGTATTGCATTATTTATTTTTCAGAACGAGCATGAGATGCTTAACATAACGGACCCCCGGATAACGACAGACCAGGAAAAAGGTACCCTCTGGTTTTCCAATGTGACCCTTGCCGACAGAAGCACAACGTATTTGTATTACTGTAAGTATTTAGAAAAATATGCAAAAAAAACTGCAAAAGTTTAATTAAAAATAAGTTTTATCTTGAAATGTTATAATTTCATTTTCTTTTTTGTAACAGGCGCATCTGAATTAGCAATCAGGTGAGTGTTGATTCTTAATTTATAATAATTAACTAGACTTTTATAAATTAACAATTAGTGAGATTTTGATGGTTTCGATTAGTTTCGCAAATACATATTTCGATTAACGTGCAATTTGCTCAGTAAATTTTCCTTTGTGTGTAAACTATGTATTTAAAGTGTTTTTCTACAAAAATTGGCAAGTTTTAAATTTGTGAAAGTACTTCATAGTTTTTTCTCTGCTAGATACGAGAGGAACATTGGGAGTCCAGTTTATCTGGGTGTTCGTCCGGTCAATAGCTCCGATCCGGCCAAGATTTACCCTCCGGTCTTCCAATATGTTTCTAAAACTCAAATGGTCGCTCTGAGAGGAGGATCGGTGTCCCTTTGGTGCATTGTTAGCGGAACGTGAGGAAAAAATATTCATAAAGTTTGTTTTAATGAAAATTAATGAGACCACGTGGCGTGGGAGCCGGGGAAATTTTATCCCCGTGCGTAATCCTTCCCAAGTTTTATGTTTTTATCATTTTGTAGACCGTTGCCGGATATCAAGTGGGTCAAGAAGAACAGCCTTTTTCCGAATAATACAGAACGTCTGAATCATGGAAAGACCTTGCAGATTAATGATATTGATTTTAAGGGTAAGTAAACCAATCTAAAATATCTGGATTTGCGTTGCATAAAATTAGGAAGTAATTTCAATAATGTTATGTCTATGATAACCTCCTCACATCGGAACCTTGAAGACCAAGGGAGCTACTATTGCGTAAGGAAATGTACATATTTATGAAAAAATGTGTCATTTTAATTTTATAAAATTAATTTTGTCAAATTTTCAGTATGCTTCAAACGGAATTGGTAGTCCGATCTCTTATGTGATCCATTTGACGGTTGAAGGTAAGGATTATTGCAAATTTTACTGAGATGGCCAAAATTTTCATTTTTCAATTGCCAATATTTGATGGCCAGAATTTCTTAAAATCGAGACTATATTGACAGCGATGACAACTTGAAACGCGAAAAATCGTGAATGTTCCATTTGTATTTTGATAAAGTATTTTGCCCATCTCGAAAAAAAATTAAATGATAACCACAACTTTTCCTTATTATGTTCTTTTCGCTTTCTTTTAGCCGTCCCGTACTTCACTACTGAGCCGGAGAATCAGAATTTGCTAGCCGAAGGTATTTAATACGAGATAAATTTCCAATTTTATTTTTATTGCTTAAAATATTTCCAGAAATCATTATAAGAACTATTTGTTTTGTAATAATGAATGCCCTGCCCCACATTAATTATTTTCTCTTTAATAATGCAGGTGAGACGGCCAAATTTCAGTGTGAAGCCGGCGGACGACCAGCCCCACAGATAACTTGGATCCACAATGGAAAACATCTCGCAGAAGCAGCACCCAACCCGAGGAGACATCAAATCAGAAATGTGATCTTCATTCAAAATGTGACCAAATCTGACATTGGTGATTGATCACATAAAATATAACTAATTTTTTAATTTCTGATCTTTCGTTATTAAGAAATACATATTTATTTACAGGGAATTACGGATGCAACGCGACTAATCGCTTGGGCTATGTGTACAAAGACTTCTATCTCAACGTGGTCGTGGTGGATCGTCGTGTCACAGAAATATCTGAAATTCACCAACAACCGACCGGATGGATTATTGGGTTATCTGTAACAATCCCTTTGCTCCTTATCATCTTCATCTTGTAAGTTGTGTGCTGAAAAAGTTAGACAAATTCATACATATAATCCTTACTAATTTGTAACTTTATTACTTAAACAGGGTCTTGGTCTTTAAGCGAGCACGTGCAGGAAACTATGCCGTTGATGAGACGACGATTTAGTTTAAGTAAATGAAAAATATAAAAGTTTCTTAAATTGTTACGACATGCCTGCATAATTTTCTCTGCGTGGTATTTATCTGTGCTCCGCTTAATCAATTTCTATTTTTATATTTCACTTGTAGAATAATTAGTAAATGGTGTAAAATATGTATGTAAACTGACTTGGTGAACGGTTCCTTAATACGCTTATTTGTAGCTTAATAGACGTAGGAAATTAAAAGTTAGTTTTTTATAATTTTATGACAATTAAATATTATATGTAATTATTGGTTAAATTTAGTAAAATTTAAGAAGCGCAATAAATGGTAATTTGTACTAATGAATGAATACGTAATTACTATGAAATATTATTGTGTTTGCGTCATATGTAGCTGTCATAGTTTAGTTGTAGTTATTGAGTCCTCAATTAACCTGAGCGATTTTTTTTAGATAAGCACGACGGCAAAGATGATATGGTAAATTTGTGAATAACTAAACTCCAAACGGGTATATGGCTGCAAATCTGATGATTTTTAAATCCTTGTATTTATTTGGTAATTTATAGTTGAAACAAATGCAGATACGCAATTACATAACAGAAACACCAGATATCGTCAATTATACATATCAACATATAATAATTGTTAGAGCACATTTAACTGCATGAATTTACAAGAAATTAATCATCTTTTAACTACTAAATCAACTGCTGAATGTTAATTTACACCGAGAAAAATCCCTTAATTGACCTACATCTCCCATAATCCATCCACTTATTCCTCACATTTGGAAATACTTCCGGCAGTCGGTGAGCTTGACGGTATCGCGTCTCCGTCTTCGTATCAGTATCATCGAAGTCCGGAAGTTCAAAATTCCGCAGAGTTTTACAGGTTTGTCCTTCTTTAGGAAGCAGAGAGTCAATCAGGTCGCTATAAACGTCCCAAAAAGTGTTGACATCGTCCTCGCTGTCCGTGGCATCCTCATCTTCATAAAATTCTGGACTAATGACGATGGAACGAATCGAGGGGAGATGGCGGTCATAGTTGATCCCGACGTCATGGTCGCCAGAAAGTGGGGGAAACGCGAACCGCAAACATCCCGCATAAAAATGACCATCTGAAAACTCCTCAAAGTGGAAATTTAATGTTTTCAGGTCGGGAAGGCATGGAAGATTGAGAACTTTTGGTTCCAGGTCATCCGTATCAACCCGAAAACTTAGCAGTTCCAGGGACGAGGCGAATTTCTTGAGTAATTTTTCAAAGTCTGGAAAATGTCGGGTTTCCAGAGGTGTTGTGAAGGTCATCTTTTTCAGGGGGTTGTTCAACTCGGTGAGAAAATTGATGCCGTCCTCTGGCTTGCAAGTTAGCGAGACTTCCTTCAAATTTTTGTACAAATTTGCGCCACTGTTTTGCAACTCTTGGATAAATCGTGACCCGAGAGAAGTATCGCAGCGAACAGAAGTAGAAATGGACTCGACGTCCTTAACCGCATCGGCCCAAGGTTTCATCCAGCCCGCCACCAGTCTTGTTGCGGGGGATGGTTCACCCTCCAGGAAATTTAGGGCAAGTGAAAACTTTGTCAACTTTTTGAAATTTATGGAAACTTCGGAATAGTTCTCTTCGATTCCATTGTAGCCCAAAATCTTGATTCCGAATTCGAGATGCAATTCTTCCAGGGTGTCTTTAAGCCGAAGGGCGGCCTTGAGATAAGTCTTGTAATCGTAGTTGGTGTAGATGTCTCCAAATAAGGACAAACTCTGGACGCAGTGTCCCCTCATCGGGTTAAGAAACCAGTCCAAGTCGAGGATATACTTGGCGCCACGTTGGCTAATGTCGTTTAAGGGAGTGGGTAATTTCGGATAGGATATTTTCCAACGTGGCCAATTCTGCATTTCGTGGACATATTGCAAAAATTTGAGGGAGGGATTGGCCGACTTGAGACCAGGATAGAAATTTATGACGGACTTCTTTCGCAAGATGGGAGACACGTGTTCGTCCCAGTGGCGACAGACGAGTCGAGCGTTCTTCAAACTTTTGAAGGGGAGGTAGGACAGAATTTTGGAGAAAATCTGGAAATTAAAGGTTCACTCTTAAAAACAATGTTATTACTGATATCTATCAGTTTGAAAACTTTTCAAATTTTCAACTTTTCAATGAAAAGTAAATGCATTCTCTTAATTATAAATAAGTAAATTTCACTGAATATAAATTTCGGATTTATTAAATCCAAAGTAACGTAAGGTGCTTCAAGAGAACAAAATTCACTCTTGATTTAGAATTGTTTCCTTAATGTATAATTTAGAGCGCATTTACTCATCAAAGTGAAGTTAATTTAAATAGAGAAATAGTAATTAAAGCCGAATAGAAAGTTTTATAGGTCATGAGCGTACCAATTGATTTTCGCCTGGAGAGAAGTTCACCTTGGCCCCATTTTTCCGTACTATTGCATCAGAATCGGGTCCACTTTTGATAGATTTATCCACATTTGTAGCATATTCCCTTCTCTAAAATTTAAATTACGTACGTAAACAAAATAATTAATTCCCCCTAAATTTATGATTAGTTTCTTATTTAGTATTTCTCATTACTTTAAAAATGAATCTGGCCAGTCCACCAGAAATTCCGTCGCGGTGTTTCGCGAAGACTAATTCATCCCCAAAGTTGAGCCGGATTTTGACCCGGTCGTAATATTTTATGCCGTTTCTGAAAACGAAGCTGCCCTAATGATTTATTTAATAGGTTTATTAGGGAGGCTAAATTATTAAATACTGCCCACCATTAACTAACCTTGACCGGTTTGGCCCAGTAAGCGTCATGTCCGCATAAGATTTCCAGGCCGAAACTCCAATCCCACTGGGGGCGTTTAGTCTTGACGAAGATGAATTCGCTCTGAGTGTCCCACGAGACGTACTTTTCGCCCAGGGTGTACTGCAATTAAAAACATGTTGCAATTAATAAATGACCAGTGAAAATTTTGAAATTAATTAACTCACCCTGCAACGTTCTCGATAAGGCAGGATTACCGAGTTCAAATCACAATCAGTCATTAACACGGATTCAAAAACAGCATCCGGAGGTTGGAGTAAGCGACCCGACATGATTTATGATAAGTCGGAATAATTATTATTGAGCAAAACTGATAAACTAAGAATTTTGATAAATTCCCGTTCAACAAAAACGATCGGTTGACTTTTTTCGTTTCGCGTCAAACTCGAATAATGATGGGGCGAGTGGAGAAGTATTATGCAAATAAATATGTATGAAATACAATTTTGCATTAATTTTATTAATAAACTGTAAGAGAAATGACACTTTTACCATTGTTCAATAAGATTAAGACATTTACAATGAGATAATTTTCCTCCTGAAATAATAGAATGATGTATGAAAACACTATCGGAATATGATTGTAAATTTTTGCATATATATATTTATTTATCTGAAATGCATATTCATAATGACACAAAATATGTCATGAAGATTATGTAATAATTATTAGTGCAAATTTACCCATAAATTAATCCAACATTTCTAAATTACTCATCTTGCATTACATTCTTCCATGAAAATTAATCTTAGCATCAAATTAATGAAATTAAAATTAGAATTAATCTATTTTAGAGGGTGTTCCGGAAGTAATGCAACTTTGGTCAAATGCACATATAAACTGAAGCAATGCATTAGTTTAGGCGAAATTTTGGTCAGAAATATACAAAGGTTAAAGCTAATTACTGTTTGTTTCGAATGGTCCATACATCTCCTTCCGCCCAATTTGGGGAAGCTTTTGTCGGGTGCTTCCCATTCGTGCTTCGCCACTGTTTCTGGTTACCTTTTTTGGGATTTTTGACAACATGTGGTGAAATAAGTTCAAATTTTTGACTGAAGTTTTTCGATTACAATATTCTTTCTTGGATAAAAACTAAAATTGTTCAATAGGTCTTGTATTTGACAAATTTGGGAACGTTGTTCACCTCTCCCATGTTAATTGCATTTGATCCGTTTTAAGGCGGAACGGGATACTTTGGCTTAGATTTATTTCCCAGTTTTGCATAAATGGTTTTCTTGAAGGTGGGAGAGTTGTACTATGTGCAAATAAAAGCATTTTGATAATCTGAGCAGTAAATCGTCTTGTACAGGACGATCAATTTTGATTAATTTTGATTACTTCAGGTCAAGGATTTTTTCTGGCCTCCTGCTTGCTACTTTTATTTTACTCTTCACTATATTTATAAGCTTATATAACCTTCTAGGATTTGATGTCCAACTTCTAAGCTTTAAAATAATGTATGGTGTTAGGTGACAACTTCAAATACTTCAGCGAATTTCGCTCCGACATTGCAAATTTCTGTTTTCACGAAGTTTATTACTTTCGGGGCTGCCACACGAATGGGCCGACCAGATATTTTTTTGCGATTAGTAGTTTTTTGCAGCTCATACCTTAGTAGTACACAGCAAATTGTCACTTTTGAAATTTGTTCTTTTTTAAAGTGAACACAGCTCAATTTCTTGGAGCGCGTAACCACTTTTTCGTTATAGTGGCAGACGATGGTTGCGAGTTGCTCGGTGGTATTTGACCTTATTTTGGAACGGATAGAGATATCGACTTCTGGTTTTCGGATTCTACTAGATAAACGTATGGACTACAATATTCACCCTATTTCGAATTTGGGGCAAATTGATACCCTTGGATATATGCATTTTACCAAAGTTGCATTACTTTCGGAACACCCTCTATTTGTTTCTCACCTCCCGTAACCTATCCATCCATTTGTTCCTCACATTAGGAAATACCTCCGGCAGTCGGTGCGCTTGACGATAGTGCGTCTCAATCTTCACATCGTAGAAAACCGGAAGTTCGAAATGCCGCAGAGTTATACATCCTTGTCCTCCGTCTTCTTTAGGGAGAAAGGACTCCAACAGGTCGCTGTACGTGTTCCAAAAATTAGCCGCATCATGTACAACCTTTGGGTGTATCACGATGAAGCGAATCGCGGGGAGGTGACGCTCGTACTTGATACCGACGACATCGTCGCCAAACGCGAGCCGTAATCGAGCCACGTCTTTAACAAAACAAGACCCACAACCTTGGTAATATCTGGCACATTCAAATTCACCAAAGTGGACATTTAAACTTTTCAAGTTGGGAAGACATGGTAAATTCAGGACGAAACGAGACTTTGGTTCCAAGCCTTCCGTGGAAATTTGAAAGCTCAGCAATTCCAGTGACGAGGCGAATTTCTTGAGCAAATTCTCAAAGTCGGGAAGATTCCGGCTTTCCAGAGGTATCGCCAACGTCAACTTCTTCAGAGGCTTGGTAAACCCGGTGAGGAACTTGATTCCATCCTCTGCCTCGCAAGTTAGCGAGACCTCCGTTAAATTGTGAAACCACGGAATTCGCGTTCTTACCAACTCTTTGAGAAATCTCGACCCCAGGGATTCATCGCCGGCCGTAGAAATGGAGGTGGCCCGGTTAATGGCGTGGGCCCAAGTTGTCATCCATCTCGCGGTCAGGGGGACGGGTGTTCGGCCCCAAGGATTAACCAATCGTAGAGAAAACTTGTTCAATACGGGGAAAAATAGTAGGACGGACATCAGCCAAGGATATTCCTTCTCGGAGCCATAATTGTCGTAAATTTGGATGTTGACGTCTAAATACAATTCTTCCAAGGTGTTTCTCAATTGAAAAACGGTATCGAGATATAACTGGTACGGAGATTTCCCCGCTCAAGGACAAAGTCTTGACGTGATGTCCTCTGCTCGGCTGAAGAAACCAGGTCAGATCGGTGGTATACTTCAATACCAAATTTTTCTGGTCATCTTCTGGAAGGTTTGGTAAGCTTATCTTCCAGTTTGGCCAGTCTGCAGGATTCTGCATCTCGTGAGCGTATCGCAAAAATTGCAGAGAAGGGTTTTGACCCTGCAAACCAAATTTTATGGCGCATTTCCCTCGCAGAATTGGAGAAACTTGTTCGTCCCAGTGGCGACAGACTAATCGAGCATTTTTTAAGCCTTGTACCGAGAGATGGGGCAGAATGTAGGGGAACATCTGGAAATTAAAAGAAATTAATGAAATTAATTATATGCAAATTAGTCAAATATTAGTAATGGAACATTTATAAAATATGCAACGCAAAATCGGCGAATTTTCCGCCCCTCATTTCCTCTCGTAGCGGGTTATACCCCAGCATGTGGCGCAACAACCTCCCCCTACGCTGCGTTACGGATTTTATAAACGTTCCCTACTAACAACTGCTAACAAGTCAATAATTTAGGTAGTAGTTCGCGTACCAATTCAATTACACCTGGAATAAAGCTTAATTTTGCTTCATCTTCCTGTTCACTGTCATCTGAATCGTGAATCGGAATCCACCCACTTTCGATAGATACAAAATGAGCCAAAAGTGCAAGTCTTTTTCGCATCGATTTCACCAAATTGCACATAAAAAATTACAAATTCAGTTTTGGGTGGGGGGATTAATATAGCATAGCTGTTTTTGAATTATATTCAACCACACCCCCTTCAAAAATTGGGGAAGAAAATTGGGAAAAATGAGAAGGTCAATGTACACTCGGTATCTAGAAGTAGATACCAACTTGCATTTGACATTTGACTTCCCTCATGAATATGAACATTTTGATGCATCAAGACTTTCAAAATTCGAAAATTGGCGGTTTTTCGACCTACATATAAATCGTTAAAAAAGTGACCTTAGCGGTCATTTCGCGGCTGACAACCTGATGCCAGATTTTTCTTCGTCAGAAGTGCCACATTTTCCGCTTTTGTTGTCCGCTGCGAAATGACCGCTACCATGACTTTTTTGGGGTCAAAGTTTCTGAGGGAGGGGCTTATACGGCAGGAGCCGTAACAATGTATAGGTATTTATGATATACATAAAGGTAATTACATAGAAGCTATTAAAACAGCCTCAAATCGCCCCAAATTTAAAACTTAAGCTTTTCTGAATTTATAATGATGATATGCATTCGAAAATTAACGCTATGAGGCTTATCAACGAAGTTATCAATTTTTCAGATAAGCAAATTTAGTTTATCCAAATCGCCCCAAACTTAAAACTTAAGCTTTTCTGAATTTATAATGATGATATGCATTCGAAAAGTCGAAATTGGGGGTGGTGGTGGTGGCAGGGGCGAAATTGGGGGTGGTGGTGCAGGTCGCTCCTGCGTGGGGGTGGAGTGAGCCTCCATGTTGCACTTTTTTTAAATATTTTATTAAAAAAACTTCCACGTTTTTTAAATTATTTTTATTAAAAATTCGGAGAATTTTATCAACTGAACCAACTCGTGTAAGAGATGAAAAGCATCTCAACACGAGTTGGTTCATAATCCCGGTAAACAATTTGAAGAGAGTGAGAAGTGAGACGGACCACCATACGGCACTGGCAACGACAGTCAGCCGTGGTGGTGGATACCCACCAGAATCCGAGTCTCACTCTGCCTTTCGCTAAATAATGGAAACTGCGTTTGTGAAACGGTTGGGCTGGTTCAGCTCGATAGGTTTATCCACATTTGTAGTATATTCCCGTTTCTAAAATTTAGATTAAGCTAATAATTAATCCCCTACAAATTTGTTTTCCGTCTTGCATTTATATTTACTTTAAAAATGAAGACTGCAAGTCCACCGGAAAAGTCGTTGCGGTGTTTGGCGAAGATTCATTCATCCCCAAAGTCGAGCTGGATCTTGACTTGGTCCTCATATTTTACTCCGTTTTTGAAAAACGTGCCGCTCTAAAGATTTTTTAATTAGTGAAGTTAAGTCGTTCAATATTAATTGCTTAATTATATAAATTCTGTCCACCAACCTCGATCGGTTTGACCCAGTATTTGTCAAGACCGCAAAAGATTTCCAGGGCGAAATTCCAATCCCACTCGTCACGCTGCATATTGACAAAGACGAAGTCGCCTTGTGCCTCCCGCGAGGTGTACTTGTCGCCAAGGGTGTACTGCAATTAAATATAAAAATAGTACAATTACTGATTATTGATTATTTAGTTTAAAAAAGTCTAAAATCAAGCCTTGTTTTACATTACATTGTTCATTCATCACGTGACCTCTTACGTCTACGATTTTCGGTCCGGGCAAATTTTCAAAAAACTTCAGATCGAAAATCTTGTCAGAAATTTGAAATTAATTGACTCACCTTGCAACGTTCCCGATAAGGCAGGATTACCGAATTCAAATCACAATCAGTATTGTACTTGGCTTCAAAAACACCATCCGCAGGTTGGAGTACTTGACCCGACATGATTTATGATATTTATATATCGCTCGAAATAATTATTGTTGCAGAAATGATTGTTAATTAAATATTTTATTTTGATAAATTCCCGTCCAACGACTACGAGGACAATACCAAAACCATCAGTTTAATTTCGTGTCAGCCTTAAATTTTGGGGCGAGTGGAGAAGTCGCATGCAATTATTTGTGCGTATCATCTCACCTCATTTGCATAAATCTCACTCTGGCCATTTTCGACAATACGGCTTTCCATGTTAAATTAACTCTATCGCGAATGTGTCAAAATATGTATGTAAATGAGGTTAGGTTAGGTTATGAAATATGTATGTAAATGAGGTGACTAGCACAAAAAGTTCAATAATAACTGTTCCCATTAATTTATTTCCAAAAGAATTAGCAAATTATTCATTCAATAAGTTCATGAATAATGATAGAATATTTGTCTCAAAATTTTAAAAGGAATAAAAATTCGAACAATATATATGTATTCACGTCATATTTATTACATGAAGAGTTAGTGAGTAGGTAATTTTTTAATTTTCAATTTTTCACACGTTGTGCGTAATTCATGGGAGAAATCCGTAATAAGGCGAGTTTGAGGTAAAATTAATAAAGTATAAATAATGAATAAACATTTACTTTCAAATTTTGGAAAAATTGATACTGTACATATGCATAAGTATTTCTGCATAATTTTTAAATTGGATAAATTACGAATGGAAAAATATTTTTCGATCTGTTATCATAAATTAAATGAGTAACTTGGCCGATAATAAGGACAACTATGAAATGTGATTTTTTATCATAATCTATTTATTACTCATACAGCAACAGCACAAATACATAATTCATGCTTGAATATTTAAAAAAAACATATCACAATTTTGTAACCCTCACTTGGAAAAGATGAGATTATATGGGGTGTCAGTTTATGTGTAAAACTAAAATTTCTGCATTAGCACTTATCATTCCCTTATTTTCCACAGCTGTCGGGTTGCCATGGAATAACGGGTAAATCATCTAACTTTAATCCCTTCTTAAAATTTGTCGAAAAAACGAGTCCAATCTCAGAATATTGGAGGGTATCGATGTCCAAGAAATTGATTTCTATGGCACCAAAACCGATCCCCGTGGCCCAGTAAATCATCCAAAAGTCGGACGCCCATTTGGTGAGGACGAACCTGTTTGGGGCGATTTGAACCAGCCAGCCCTCCGCCATTCGCCCATAGCTCCAGTAAAGTTGCGGAATCCCGACGGAATTCGTGCGAATCGTGATGTTCATCTCGCCTGGAATTTTCAATAGGAAATGCAATTTTCGAAATTTTTATAATGAGATTAATATTTTTTAATGAAACGTACCGTTGAAGCCACTCCCGTAAGATCCGACAGCCTGATCAAGGGTGATTTGAATTTGTGATTTTGAGACGGAGGTCTTGGTGGGTTTCGGATTAGTGAATTTGCCCCCCGTGTAGTAGGATAGTTCGTGCTGCATTGTGTGGTCGGGTTGGATTTTGGGAATTTCTCGTGGTTTTGTTAATCCTGAAAAATATTTAGTGCGATTAGTAAAATATAACTGTGTCGGAAATGAGGACGATCATTATCAAACATGTAACGATAATTAGAAGATAGTTAGAAATTTTGAAACTTGAAATTTTGACTAAAAATTGTTGGTAATTTTGACCATTTTTTGCCATAATTTTTACCAGATAATAAGTAAAAAATTTCAGTTTTGATCCCCTCCGATTCCAACAATGGTCCTGGACCGTTCGATGTTACAAAAATGCTAATTCCGAGGTCTGGATAGGAATAGAATGACGACTGGAAGGGCGGCATGTAACCCCCGTGACCGATTCGACGCCAACCTAGAATATTACAAAAATTTGAAGTATTTACAATTAAAAATTGAACATTGAACTGATGGAGTTTTCATTGCAAATAAAATTTCAAGTTTTTAATATTTTTTTAACTAACCATCAAAAATTCCGGAAAATAATGCGAGACCGTAACCGACGCTGATGTCCAGGGTGGTATCAGGATTGTCCATCGTCTTGGTGGATCCGCTGTAGTCAGTATTTGAAATTGTGGTCATCCATTTCATGACATCCTAAAAATTGAGTTGTATTTTTTAGTAATTATAATTTTAGAAAATCTACAAAAATTTCCAAGATTATGAAGACCAACCTCAGGTATGACTTGATTATCTCCAATTTTTCCATTGCGTGCATACAACTGGATGTATTTGACCATGTCGTTTACGCAAGAGAGCATCCCACCACCGCCAAAAATTGGTGCGATCATCCTAAGTTTCAAATAAATTTTGAATAAGCAAATAAATTTCTGAAAATATGAAATTTTTCGAAAATATTCAATTCAATTTTTTTGTTTTTGGGGGAACCGTACTTTAATAGTTCCGTGTTGTATCGCTTTAAGCTCCCCTCTTTCCAGATGTAGGGGACAGCCCGGTGCATCATGTTGTTATGGTCGTCACTCGCCCTGATCCAGGTCGTTCCGGTCATTCCGAGGTCATTGAGAAGTTGGGTCAACTGGAATATGCAAATTTATATGTATTTAAATCTGGAACAAAGTTAATCATTAACTTGTTTATTAATTAACCTTACCAACTCTTCGTACGTGGAATTGACCATGTGCGCCACGATTTCGCCGGACAGCGCGATCAACGCGTTGCTGTACGCCATCCCATTTCGGAAGGAGCATTCTTCCGGAGCGTAGCGGTATCGACTGTGACATAAAAAATTGAATATTTTATTTAATTAATTATTTAATTAAATTATGTCGATTAATGATTCAAATTAACCACTCACAAATAAAAGTCCTCCTTCCCTTCATACGCTTGCGACAGGAGGCCGGAAAGTTCCTGGAGGGCGCACACCCTGTGGGCGAGAAGGTCTCTGAAGGTCACCTGTTCCGACCGGTATCGGTCCCCCAGGGTCAAGTTAAACGAGGGCGCTAACGTCGCGATGGGCGTGTCCAGCACGGCCTCGCCCATTTCGGGGTGCAAGTCGCGCAACGTTCGCGTCACGACGAGCGCGGCGAAGGCCTTGGAGAGCGACCCGATGCCGAAGAGGGTGTTCCCATCGGCGGGAAGGTTGTTCTCAACGTCGCGTAAACCATACGTTTTGGCGTAGGTGGCGTCCCCTTTGACCAGCGCGACTCCGAAGGCGGGCACGTGTTGGCGTTCCATCGAGGCGCGGATCATGGTATCGATTTCGAGCAGGATTTCGGGTGGGATAACGTCATTGTTCGGATGTGCCGAGGGTGCGGCAGAGGTTAATAAGATTAATGTAGAAAATAGGAGTAAAGGAAGTGTGAAAATTGATGCTGATTTAAAAATCATTTTGATAAAATTTGTTAGTTTTTAGCGTTAAGAAAAAATAGTCTGAAGTTTTATACAAAATTTAAAAATGGTTAAATGTAATATTTTTATGCAAAATTTTATGCTACTGTGCAAAATTTCTAGTTTGTCTTGATGAACAAGCTGGTGTTCGTTGAATGATTAATGCATGGAAATTTCGCATCTTTATATATCAACCAACTTAACACAACAAAGGTACATACACGCAGGATTATTGATGAAGAGGAAAATAAGCCAAGATAAGCGTAAATAAGTAGCACGGGATGTGACGCTGTTGACGATGCGTACACATTGGTCTTCTCGTCTACCTACCTGTTTACCAGACAATGGGCACAAATATTGTGTATGAACTGGACACGGCGTGGAGTGCGATGAGTAAACCTGACTCTTTCGTCAACATTTAATCTCGTGACGTGACGTATTGATATTGAACCTGTAAATTTATGTATATGCATTTGTTATTTAACGGAATTAACCTTTGAATCCAGAGTACCTCAATATGCGGGTGATTATTTATTGCGTAAAATTAAAAAACAATACAAACGAGACCTGAGTCATGCGGGATGTGTGTGTGTTTGTGCCGGCTTATTTTGTCCGATTTCCAAAAACAGGTACATAATTAATTGGGTGAGAAATGAAGTCTTATTTGTGAGGGAAGTCCATCAGGTGGGTGTTGATTAATTAGGGATGACTAATCAAATCACTGCATGATTTTGGAGACTTAACTCGGTATGTAAATATCGCGTCCTCATGTCATGTATTATTTGGTCTTGGGTACATGATTTAGAGGTAAAGCTTCATATGCAAAACTTATGAGAGGAATTATGTGTGTAAATTAAGTAAGTATGATTAAAAGATTTGGAGGAGGGATTACTCACTACGTTACGAGGTACATATGCCAGCTTAAGATTAGCGAATAACGCTACAATGCAGACATGCAGAAAGTACATGCAATTTAATTCCGATTATGTGCATAGAAACGATACGATTTTACTTGCGTGTTTGATTGAACTATAGTTTGCCGCTTGCTATGAAAAGGTGTAAACTTCTCAATTAATTACGAACCTGCGGAACACTAGATGTGGATTTTTAGGAAATTAAATTTTTAAGGATTTTTCCAAGTCTCACTAAGGTATTAACTAACTGTAATTTTTTACCAGATAAACCGTAACACTAACAGAATAGATACATACGTCATTTTGACATTTTTTCGTTACCATTAAACACCATAGGTACTAAAGAATCGGAAAAACTCTTCGCAATATTTTGACATTCTTTTGATTTTATCACTTAACGAGTTGTTAGATACTTGGGGCAGTAATGCAGGCAAATGACTTACATATGTACATACACAATTATACGGATTTACAAACATACATATGTACGCGTCGACGTATGTACATATGCATGTATGTCTGGCGTGTCCATGATTTTTAAGTTATGCATGTAAGTATGTAGATTAAGGCATATGTAATTGATTGATTAGGTTTTTATTAAGGGTGTCGAAAAATGGTCAGTACAAGTACTGTTTCTCAGCTTTGGACACCAAACCCAGTAAACTCGAATACAAATCTATAAAAATACGAACTAAGCTAATACATATGTATGCATACGTCATACGTACACCGTAAGTTATCATGTATGCTTATATACATATTTCCATGGTTGCATGGTGTATCTACAATCTACATAATTTCCTATACATACATCATGAACTTGAAATCCTTCCTTAATTTTATTTTCGTATTTCGAGACCTACATAAGTTCTGAATTACATAGATATGTGTGACGGGGTCCATTAAGGTCAAAAACTATCAAAAAGCTAGGTCACGTGGAACCATCTAGTTAACAATTGTTACTTACATACATGTATACATACACTCCTACATACATATCTCCCCCTTTACTTCGCAAAGCATATTCGTTTCCGAAGTTTATCTAATAGCGGAAGGAACATGATTTAAACCGGAAGGAAGTCTGTTCGTCTTCACAACAAAATATTTACTTAGGCAGGACATGACTACGTGACAAACTTTACATACATACACTTGCACTGTTTATTTGCATACGGCTTTTGGTTCCTGATAAATATTACGAAGTGTCATTTTCATCCTGATGTCAGTGTCATGACAAAGATAGAGAAAGATATGTACATATGTACTATCGGAGCAAATATTTAACCCAACTTCACCTCTCCGTAGTTATGTAACTGATGGAATATTTTCCTCGTCAATTTCAATTTGATCAATCTGCATATGAGCATTTGCAGATTAAAACATAATCGATAATCAGAGTGGCTATTTAGGGAACAAATTAATGAGAAGCTACATAAAGGATGTCTCCAATTTTTTTAGGGGGAGTAATTTTGTGTACAAGTCCCATGCATATATGCAAATTAGGAGAAATTTTAGTGTAGGGATAAAATTTCCAAATTTTGGTACACCCTTTATTCACGACCCTTCCAACATCACCCCACCACCACCTGTGTCTCAATTGACTGAGTTCGGTTTTACCAAAGAAACCCTAATCTCACATTCTTTTTTCACTGCCAATTACCAGTCAATCGATGCATATTATCGATGATCGATTAAAAATTACATGTTGGAATTAATTGAATCTTTATCTAGCTCTTCGGAGTCCCGAATCACGCCACCCAATTTTTACCCAGATCTCCACCCTGCCAACGCACAACTTGGACCGGTATAAAAGTAAATTGCGCTCACGTAACGGCCAACTCATCGCTAATTCGTCGTCTGAATCACATCTCGTAACAAGAAAATTCTTCTCTCTTTCGTCAAGATGGTCTCAATCGCAGGAAAGTACGAGTTTGTCTCGAGCGACAATTACGACGAGTTCATGAAGGCGTGTGGTAAGAAAATAAAAAAAGCTGATGAAATTTATGGACACAAATTTTGAAACTTTTTTTTTCTTTTAAGGTGTCAGTCTCGTAACGAGGACGGTGGCTAACAAGTTGAAAAACCAGGTCGAATTTAAGGACTTGGGAAACAACAAGTGGAACCAGAAGACCTTCTCAACTTTTAAGGACTTCGAGATCACTTTCACCCTCGGAGAAAGCTTCGAGGAGCAGACGGCTGATGGGAGAAAGTGCCAGGTGAGTGAGACTAATTCTTGTGAGAGGTTTTCTTGCCAGTTTTTTTCATGTTGTTGGATAAAATGTAGAATTTTGTGGGTAAATTATTGTCTTTTTTGGATAAAATATTGATTTTATGGAGTAAATCTATGAATTTTTTGGGAAATTGTTGAATATTTCTGGTTAATTTTTGATTTTTTTTCATAGGCCATCGTCACCCGTGAAGGCGACACTTTGATCCACAAGCAACAATTAGAAGGAATTGAGACCGTTGTAACCAGAGAATTTAAGCCAAATGGTGAACTCGTTTGCACCTTCAAGGCCAAGGACGCCGTGGCGAAGAGGGTTTACAAAAAGGTTTAGAATTTTAAAAATTGTATAAAGTTGAAATTTAATATCGGAATTAAATCATTTGAACAACCAAAATGTATGTAAATGCTTCATGAAGTTTTTATTTTGCATGCAATTAGATAAAATGCATGATAAATAAATGCATGATAAATACCAAACACGGAGTATACATATTTACATATCTAAAGTGGTAACTGATAAGGGTCGGTCGCGCATATACAATATACTCTTAAAAATAATGCTACTCTTTTGAAAAGTAAATGAAGTCAAAAGTATTCATACATATGTATATGAAGTTCACTTTATGTATACATAAAATGAACTACATTAATGTACATAAGAGTAAACTTTTCTCCTAATCAAAGTTAGTGGCGCTATGGATTTAATAATATAAATAGAATTTACTTTTCGAAATATTGCATGAAAACACTATTTTTAAGAGTGCATGTGCTCAATGGAAGTTGGAGTATCGTTTCCATCCCATGTTAATACTGATTGGAGACAAGGCAGATCTTATTCCCCGAAAACCAACTACGTCTTCATGAACGGTCCATAGTGACGTGAAGTGAATGTGCATAGTGAAAAAATATTATTACGTTGGCTCTTTTGCCTGTTTAGGATCAGCATGGGTTGTGATATGGCTACATATTTATAGCAGGCCATCTTCTCCCGTCCCTTGTTCAGTTGAAACGGATACCATTGACTGTCATCGACATATGTACATAAATATGCATATCAAGGGAAGAAAGATCGTAAATACGTACCTGAAGTTGTATGTAGTATTGATACATACATATGTACATTTAGGAAGAGAGGCCTCCTCTTAACAGGAATAATTTGTAATGTCTTTATCATCGGTTGCATTCTTCTTTCTCATCAGCATTTCCACATTTGCTGGATTTGTGTTCTCCTGCAGTCCAAGTAAGTAGAAAACATTAGTATTTTTAGAGCTGCAGTAGCATTTAGCACAAAATTGATTAAAGGAATTTATATATATACTGTGTTTGCTTAAAGCATGCGTAACTATGTAAGAATACATAGTGAAAACAAATTTACCATAAACAGGTAACATATACACGGCAGAGGGTGAAAAATGGAACGGGCCCGAGATTCCAGTCTGCAAAAATACCCAATAGGTGGTTTAGAATTATTTATTTTGACAAGAAGATTAGCCGTTGTGGTTTCCTCCTTTGGTTCAACTCATTCTATGAATGTTACAATATTAAGTAAGGAAGATATACATACATATTTTTATTAATTTAATGATTTTTTGGATGACTAATTCCCTTCTTGATATATTTATCTATATGTACAGATTCCAACACATCTACCGATAACAGGGTTTTACCGTGGGGAAAATAAGGTGAGGAAAATGGGTGGGTAAAATGGGTTTTAGCCACCCACCCCAAAGCCCCGCAAGTGGGGAAAATGGACAAAATGGGGAAAACACTTTTTTGGGGCAAAACGATTCACTGTTTCACTCTCAACTTGAAAGATAAAGTAATTCAGCATATTAAATAACACGAAAGCTCTGAAAATTATAAAAAATATAGATAATTGCTGACTCTGTAATCCTTTCTTCGAAATTGTTTGCATTTCCATCTTCATGTGTAAAGTTATATTAGGTTGTTGATTCATATTTGCTATCACTGGCAAGATCTAATGACAAAAGATAATTTGTATCCTTTATGAGAGATTAAAATGAATGTAAATTTTTAGGATATTTCGTTTTTATCCAGAATTTACCCAGAGTGTAGTTTTATTTTTACGAAACTGGGAATTTTAAACCTAATTATTTAACGGTAAAATAAAAAAATCGAGTGGTTTATTTAATAAACAGTAAGAACAGAACACAACAAGGAAAATAAACTACCCCCAATGGTGGTGGTGGTCCACCACGTCACTATAACCCGTCATACCCATTTTCCCCACTACCCACCCATTTTCCCCATTTTTTCCATTTTACCCACTGGGCTGGGGATTAAGCTCAAAAGGTGGGTAAAGTAAAACCCTGACCGATAAGACCTTGATTGAGGCAATGAGCTATCTCGCATTTCAAGGTTTTTTATCAGTACAAAGGACCCCAAGGGATTCCTTCTCTCAACCAGCGTTCAAAAAGGCCGGAATAAAAATTGACAGCACGTCTGGTACCTATGAGCTAGACGCTGAGGCTGTACGAATAGTGACAAATGCAGAATCCTCAATCTTAACGTCAAGGACGGTAATTGGCACAATTACGTCAGCAGGTACACAATTAAATCTTTTACAAAAATAAGTACGTACCAGCTAGGGATGTGCTATCTATGTACATAAGTGTCAAGAAAGTATCATATTTTACTTATCCATTTACCTTTCATATTTGGTAAGGTTGTAAAAAATCTGGAAAATTCGATATTTACATAAATATGCATGACAAATATGCATGAGATACAACTTATTTGTAATGGAAATTTTTTGGTTGTGCGTAATTAGTATATTTGTCTCCAATACCGAGAAACATGACATTTCCTTAGATGTTCTCAAGTTATAAGAGTTTGACAGCACAAGAAATAAATATTTGTCGTAGCAAATATGACATTTTACATAAAAAGTTCACAAGTATAATGCGATAGGCCCATTCTTCCTAAAAACAAATGTAAATTATTGTGTAATGAATATTATAATTTTTGGGAATCACAGGCCCTAGTGATTTACGCATGCCAGTTCTCTTATCCCTGGACAATTTCACATTTCATGGAGGTGTGGAATTAAGCGATCAATTATACTTCTTTCACTGCCTTACTACACCCTGTTCGTTCAATGGACTAATTAGTAAGAAACTATATTTAGATATTTAACTTACTTTACATAAATAAAATAATAATTTGTGTTGACAGCAAAATAATTTTTTACTTACTTAGATATTTTATCAGACCTGGACTTCAGTATATTGGAGATCAAAGTGTCATCCTCGCACCCGATGAGCCAGAAAATAATTCTTGTAAGAGGCCTGAGTAAAACTTCGGCGATCCTGGGGAAAGAATATTTTGCATCTTTAAACGGAATTAATATGTTGACAGGAGTAGCATTCGATGAATGAAGTAGGCCTCATTACCCAATCTCATGCAATCTTAATCTCAATCTTATGCAATGCAAAACATGTAAATATGTATATGTGCTTAAATATTTGTTATTACCATAAATGGGAGGAACTTTTTGTATGCAAAATTATTTGTCATTATCTTTAATGCGAAGTTCAAAACAAAATCCGTTACACATGGATGCAGTATTTTCTCCTAACTTCGATACCTGTGTACCACATGACTCGATATTTTAGTAAAAATGTGAGAGCATTGCATCATGATATGCATAGGATGCAGTCCCAGTTCTGCTTGCACGGCCCTATGCCTGATTAAACACACACCCAATGTCAATAGACAGTAAACACAGGTACATGTACATAAATATGTACACATGTATACCCCGCAAAACTAACGAGTCCTTTGCATATATGTACATATATAATGTATAAGTCATTAGATATTTATATGTTTAAATTACTAATTGACCAGAAAGGGCAAGCCTCTCATACGAACAATGTCAATATTCCTACATTTCTCTCCTCCCTTTAGTGGTTAGTATTTTTTTTTGTGAAATTTATCTCTCGATCGCAAGAACTCGAAACGTATATTTACAAGTCAAAATTGGTTCAAGAGTGTATATTTATTTAATTTCAGCGTAATTATTAAATCCACACGGCTTCTATACATACATATACATATTTATATAGCGACCCCCATTGATAATAGATTATACTGCTTCAAACGTATGTACATAATAATTAGTGCTTAAAAGTTTAATTGTTTAGGTAAACCTTTTGACAAATATCCTGTGGTGAAAAATATCCGTTCCGCTGAGACAGTTTTACTTATTTAAGAAGTTTAGCTTAATTTGAAAGACGTCAAAGTCTCAGCTTGAGTTGGACTTTCTACACTTTGAGAAGTATTGATTAAAGTGTTGTAGCAACTTATATTTAGCTCGTTGATACATTCATTAGTTAGATACATGCAAATTTGCGCATCAAAATTTCTCAGAAAGACAATTGATATAGAGTATTCTGCTTTCTCCTCGGTTTGAATATGCATATGTATAACGATCTGTACCGTTTCTTGTATTCTACGCAATACTTTCCCTTTGCCTGACAAAGTCACGTTAAACTGAAAAGGTGAATTTTTTAGGTAAATTGATTACTCAGTTTGACTGCATATACGGTACATTTTCGTTACACCCTTGAAATCAGATAGAAAACAGGAGTGTATCGTAGCTTAGTGTAAAAATATAAACTTTTGTGGTCAAAGTTTTCTTCTTTTCTCAGATACGAAATATCAGACTATCGAAATGATAACCCAAGCTTTTAAAGGCTACCTCGTCAATTACATAAAACTCAGTTGTTTCTTCTGGTTTTCACCCGTTTCTTGGAATACTTCCCTTTCGAAGATTGAATTCATAAGGGAGAAAAAACGTCGAAATGTATTCCACGTGATGAGAGCAATTTTAACCTTGTACATACTTGGGATGGTGTGGCACGCGTTGGATGGAGACTCTTCGACTGATTTAAAACTTCAAGCTGTGGCAATAATAGCGTTTTTTGTTTTTATCCTGATTCTCACGTGGATTTGGAGTATGGCAGTTTCTCCGGTACAATTATTCAACTCGTTCAGCAAGTTTGAAGATTACTTGATTAAAGGTAATAAATTTGCTGAGAATAATTTAAGATGTCCGACTTGCATAGATTCGGATCGAAATAGATTTTGGCAATTTAGCTTATCAACACATGTAGATAACTCACAAATTTCGCATAACTTTTTTGCTTAAATAGTTAGTTTTTTTTCGCAAATTTACCCAGCGAATGGGGTTGGGGCAAAGTTATTTCGCAAACTGATCACCGTCACCAATGCTAGATTTTGCAGAAATTCATGCAAACAACTCCATGAAATGCAATTTTCGAATTTTACGAAGTCCAATTTTGCGAATTTCTCGAGCGTCGCAAACATGCTAAATGAGTCGCGATGCGAAATCAGTTATCAGACGTTGTGATGAGTACGCTAAATAAAACCAATAATTTATTTATTTTAGAATATGGCCATATTACACATTGGCGACGTTCATTGATCACGAGAAACTCGACCAAAGGAATGCTGATATTTTGTCAAAATCTACAAGCTTCTTCAGTTGTGTGTCCATTTTTGAATTTTGCCTTAGTTCTGGTTCACCCTTGTCAGCCGCCGTTCCTTGGATCAATGACACCTTTTTGTACGAGTGGGGTGTGGTCGAATTCGGAAATTGCCAACTATTTTAGATTCCCTATCGCCTTGGCGGATCTTTGGTTCTCGTTCCTATGCAATGCAGGAGGTGGTGCGTTCATCATCATGTTCTTTGGGGTTTGCGTGTCTTCGTTCCTTGAATATTTGGATCTGATTGGCAAGTAAGTGGTTGATAAGGGGGTATTTCATATATGCGTCATGGTATGTAAATTTCTATTTTTAATCTTACCTAACCAATGTTGGGTCTCATTTAATTGACCAGACGTTTAATTGAAATCTCATAAAACTGAATATAATGAAATTCCATAACTTTGGACTTCCAATTTCCATTCGTTCCATAATTTTTAGTACTTTTAGTACTTTGGATGTTCATAATTTCTGGATTGGTTGATAGATATACGTGGGTGTTTTATTATTGATTTTCAAAAGGTATGTTCCGCACTGTTTCTGACCAAAATTTTGATGAAATAACAAACTTGAAATACATTTAGGAAGTCGTGATTTTTTTCAGCTCAATCGGTTAAAAGGAACACCCGCAATAAATCATCCAAATTTACCTCGAAAATATGCAAAAATTTACGACTTGATTCCATTATCATCCCAAAATCGTTTCCCCTTCATGCTTTTATTCAACGTTTGAAACGGATAATAATCACTAAGGGTCAAGGCTGGACTGTACGGGGGGTGGTTTATGACGGTGAAGCGTTTTTCGTCTGCAGCAGCCCTCGAAACCAGCGAGGTATTTGTTGGCGCGTTGTCGTCTAAACAAAGGCCAACTCTTTATTTTGACCTCACGTTTCTCTTCAACCGCAGCACGCAGCTCCGTCAGGGTTCCTGCATAGGCTGCCCATTTCCAGCAAGAAATTATGTAAGAAGGGGACCTTTTGTATCATTGTAAATAGTCATAATCAATTTTTTGGCAGATTTTTACGCTTTTGCTTTCATGGGCGGTGGCAACCCCCCGTGCTCCCATTGCATGAAGTATTGTTTAGTCTGCAGGTCATGATAGTAAACCCAAGTATCATATGCAACTACTAAAATATGAAGCAGGTTCCAGTTTTCATTTAATAGGTTAAAATTGGCATTGCAAAGGTCAACTCGATCTTGTTGTTGAGATGCCGAAAGCAATTTTGGTACCCAACGGGCGGAAGCCATTTTCATACCTAAGTCTTCAGTTAACGTGGAACAAATTGTTGGTTTTGGAACACCCATCTTATCTGCTAAATTGGACAGTTTAAATCGTGGATCTCTAATTATTGGTTCCTCTAGTTTCTGGAGCCTTTCTGTGGAAGAAACTGATTTTGGGCGTCCTGGCGACTTTTTGTCCGAGACCACTTTTCGTCATCATTTGAAGTTACTGACCCAATTTATATTGTGCTTTGTGTTGGGCAGTTTTCATCGTAAACTTTAAGCATGCGATCATAAATCTGCGACACCGATTGCCCTTCCAGCGTTAAAAGTTAAATCACACTACGATATTTAATTTGCAAATCTGACATTTTTTCCGTCGAGGTAAAGTTTGCTGATTTATTGCTAGTGGTGATGTTAACCTAAAGAGCTGAAAAAAATCACGGCATCCTAAATGTATCTGAAGTTTGTTATTTCATCAAAATTTTGGTCAGAAACAATGCGGAACATACGTTTTGAAAATCAATAATAAAACACCTACGTAAAAAAAATTTAAACTTTATATTTTTTAAATATAAAACAAGTACCAGGCAATACATTTTTTCAAACATTGTTAAATTAAAGACATTGGGTAAAGTGGGATAATAACATAGATGTAATTAATTTCATACATTTTGCCTAAGATATTTGATTATTATAAAGGGTGGTTAAAATGTCTCGGTACAATGGAAAATTTTGTAAAGGAAAAAGCCCCGGAATCTCCATTAATTGCAAGATTTTGGTTTTCGATTTTTATTAATTATTATCAAAACTGATGGACAACTTGTGACAAAGACAAAATGTCTGTAACTGATGGAAATTGACAAATTTTTCCTATCGCAAAATCTTCCATTGTACCGTGACATTTACATACATAAAGCCACCTTATGTTTAAATTCGTTTAATAATTAATTGCAGGCATTTGAGTCGCTCCCCTTCACCAAAGTTGCGACTGATGTCGTGCGTAACGCTCTACAGGAAGATCGCCATCGCTGAAAAGATACTAAACGCCACATTCGCGGCTTTTGTGTTGCCCACAATTTTATTTAGCGTCGTAGGGATTCAAATATTCTCTGGTTTTGTGTCAATTTCGAGGGATTCGTTGATTCCGATGCCACAGTTCCTGCTTTTCCCACTCGTCTGGTTGAATTGTACATTGTTCAACATGCTGGTGACCACCCTCTCGTCCTACGTTTATGGAAATTCTAACCGAATAATTGGAACGTTGGGAGAGCTGGGATGCAAGCTAAGATTTAGAATTGGTAGAAGACTTGCTCGCAGGGAACTGAGATCCTGTGCTCCTTTGAAAATTAAGTTTGGCAATAATTTCATTAGCGGAATTACTCCTCTAGTGAATCAGGACTTAGCGCTGAATCAGACCGTGTCGTTAGTGTTGCTTAGAAAGTCTTAAATATAAATAAATCATTTTTCTGTCATTTGAATGAAAATGACAAATGCTAGTGTACATATGAAAGAATTTTCCCTAATTGCATTTTTCACACTGGGTTTAATGCATTGAAGCGAAGTAGGAAATCGAGCCCGATGAAGTGCAATGAAATGAACTAAAACGACTGAATTTGAATGAAAATCTTCACTAAGAAATTGTTATGACCGAGTTTTGAGTGAAAATTACAATCTTAAAGAAGTATGATGATTGGGTGTTTTAATCATATAAATATGTATGTATGTATATATACATATATTGCGTTTCAGGTAAAATATTCAATACATTAGAAGAGCAAATATTTATGTAAGAACTAGGGTACCCACATTATTAATAAATTAATAAATTATTTAGTCTACTTATCATCGTATATAAGTTTAACATCAAAATGATGCAAAGCGGTATTCGCATGTAACTTGAGGTCAACCACGTCAACGGTTGATGAGAAGTGATGTATTATATTACTAATTTTTGCGGACCGGTATTGCGGGTTCATCGTTCATATCGAGAAATATATACCTGCCGGACTATTTATACCAAATTTCTAACGGTGTATTTAACCAACAAGATTTTACAAATGTTTATGAAATTATTTGCATTTATGTATTTCATCCTGTATCGATTTGATTATATTTTAAATTAATTCATAATATGTAAGAGGCAGGCTTACAATATCAGAAGTCGCAGAAAATAAACTTTTCGTATGTAACTATTTAAACATTGTTGGCTCAAGGTGTTGCGAAATTTCATGGAATTTCCTCCTTGAAGAGGGCGTGGAAATTAAGTATAATGGTTCCTGTGGAAATGGAATAATGCATATGAATTTACGTCAACTTATCGCTGAAGCTACCACATATTTACCTCTTTTCTTAACTTACATATTTTCGTACGATAATAATGACTAAATACGTATGTATGTACATCATTTGAATTAAATAAAATGTTAAGACAAGTTTGTGTGAACTTATGCATGCCGCAACAACCTCAGTTAGATAATTATAAGTTTGGTTGCCACGATTTAATTTAAAGAGGACGTTAATTATATATTCAAATTATCAGCGGGTGGATATATATTTATTTGTGTACAAAACATCCTTTCGTATCTAGTCCAAGATAGTTTTTAGTTATACAGGGGCCCTATGACGTTGCACTGTATTGCAAGACATCCACTTCATCTATAGAGAATATGCAGTAAAAACCTCAAAATGATTACCCAAGCTTTTACACGCCCTCTCATCAACCAAATAAAACTTGGCGGCTTCTTTTGGTTTTCACCAGTTCGTTGGAACTCGTCGACATCGAACATCGAATTTAGAGAAAATAAAAAAACGTCGAAATGTCTTTCATGCACAAAAGGCAATTTTTACTTGCTACGTATTTGAAATGGCATGGCACGTTCAGACTGGAGGTACAGATTTAAAACTTCAATCTACGCCCATAATTATGGGATTTGTGTTCGCCCTCTTTCTCACATGGATATGGAGTGTGGAAATTTCACCCGTACAATTATTCAACTCTTTGACCAACTTTGAAAATTACTTGATTAAAGGTAAAAATAAGTCATTTGTGTAAGCTCTCGGATTTAACTTGGCATGAAAATATACATATTTGTTATAAAGTATGAAACCGATAATTACTTTGCATGCATGCTAATCAAATATTCAGACCTAACAATAAACGAAATCGTTTTCTTGTTATTTTAGAATATGACCAACTTATATTTTGGGGACATCCGGTCAGCACAAGAAACTCGACGCGTGTAATGCTTTTATTTTGTCAAGTCTTCCACATTTCATCAATTGTGTGTCCGCTCTTGATCTTCGCTTTAGTTCTGGTCAAACCTTGTCTGCCACCGTTTCTTGGATCAATGACGCATTTTTGTACCGCTGGGGTCTGGTCGAGTTCGGAGACTGCAAAATATTTTAGACTCATTTTACCTGCGTCTGATCTATGGATGGCTTTATTATGCGACGTGGGAGGTGGTGCGTTCATCATCATGTTCTTTGGCGTTTGTGCGGCTTCTTTCTTCGAATACTTGGATGTAATTGACAAGTAAGGAATTCCTATGACTTTGATAGGATATGGCGAATCTCACCTTACCATTGTTCAAGTTAATTTTCCGTTTAATTATATAGAGTAGTAAGCAGTGCCAAAAATTCATTGAATTTCTGGGATGTAGGTAAATTCGATTTATCTAAAGTTACTGAACACGGGTAAGTTGAGATCGTAACTTAAAATATTTATGCATCTGATGAGCATGTACTCACTATAGAAAAGGGACCTAAATTTTTAGTACTTTTAATAAAAATCATCTGATTTCAGAAATTTGACTCGTTCCAATTCACCAAAGCTAAGGTTGAGCTTGTTGGAATGCATCGCACTCTACCGGAAGGTCCTCGTAGCCGAAAAAATGTTTAATGCTACATTCGCCCCCTTAATTTTGCCAGTCAGTTTATTTTGTATGACAGGAATTGAAATATTTTCAGGTTTTGTGTCAATTTCGAGACATTCTTTGATCCCCATGCCACAGTTTATGCTTTACCCGCTCGTCTGGTTGAACTGTACATTGTTCAACTTATTGGCGACCACCCTTTCGTCGTATGTTTATGAGAATTCGAACAGAATGAAGGAAAAACTGAAAGAGTTAGTGTGCCAAGTAAGGTTCGGATTTGGTAGAAGGCTTCTTCTAAGAGAATTGAGATCTTGCACTCCCTTAAAAATTAGGTTTGAAAATAATTTTATTGATGGAATGACTCCTCTCGCAAATCAGGATTTGGCTGTGACACAGACCATGTCCTTAGTACTGCTTGGAAAGTCCTAGGTTGCCCTGGCTAATGGGATGTAGCCCCCAATTTAAATGACCGCTTTACCACCGTCCATATTCTGTAAAATGTGGTATGCTTTCCTCTGTCCACCCGTTTTTTTTCCTGTTCACTGTCCGCGTGGACACAAAAATCCCTACATTGACATACTTAGTTGCCGGAAGCTATGATGGTAATTAATCAAGGTCTCTGCACTTGGGGGGTTGCTTTGGAGATGAATTCGAAGCTACAACAGGTTGTGTCAGGTTATTCGATTTTTAAAAAAATTTCAAAAATCCGGAGTTGGAGAATTCGCAAAATTTACGCTCGATTTTTTTACGTTGTCAAGAGTTACAAATTAAAAATTGAGCGTAAATTTAGCGAATTCTCCAACTCCGGATTTTTGAAATTTAAAAAAAAATTTATATTATAAGCTGGAAATGTTTGTCTGCAACGGAAGTAAAAGTAATTTTCCGTGACGGAAGTAAAAGTGGAGAAAGTTTCATTTCCTTGCCAACCGACGTTTCCGGCTAACAATATAGATACAATAAAAAAATAACTCGGTGGAATTATGAACAATCATACTTAATTTTCACGAAAATCAAATAAGCCCGTCGCCTGGCGGGAGACGGGCTTATACACTAGTCGAATAAACTGACACAACCTGTTGTAGCTTCGAATTCATCTCCAAAGCAACCCCCCAAGTGCAGAGACCTTGGTAATTAATGCATTACGTGGTTTCCTGTTCTACTTTAGGACAAATATTTAATGCATCTGCACAGGAAGTACTTATTTTATTACTTAATAAGGTAAAGACAAGTTAATGCATTATGGCCCACTCACCAGTTTGGGGGAATGTTTGCATGTACATATGATACATAATTACCTATAACGAGTCAGTTCGTGTATCATTATTATGGCTTTTCAACACAGAAAATAAATTGCTGACTCAGCGTCATATTCCAAGTTACTGTTGCAATGTCCATCATGTTTTACCGTACAATGCTTCAATTCCAGGAGACAGGATCCGGGATTGCGTAAATATTGGTTGAAGCTACGAAATACATGTCTACACACTCTAAATAAATTGTGGACAAATCGTTACCTGTGGAGGTACTACATACCTCCACATTTGATTTGTGTTATTGTTGAGTAGCCACCAAAGAGACGTTTCCTCATCAACGGAATACAATCAAACGCATACGCGAATATTCATCGCGTCATGGAGTCGTTGAAGTGCTGAAGGGTCTCCAGCGGGATATTTGCCCATCCGCCATGCATCATTTTCCCCAATTCCTTTTTGGTTCGAAATTGACGCCCACCCGACGCGAGAAGTTGGCCCAAAAATTCTTCATGGGATTTAGGTCAGGACTGCTAGCCGGCTAAGCTAAGTTCCCGGCATTTTTCCTGGCAAAGAAATCCATGATTAAACGGGAAGCATGAATTTGGGCGTTGTGCTTCTGAATATCCAACCTCATCCGCAAATTCTCGGTCCCAAGCTGACGAGATTGGACTGGCGTACTCTCTGATAACCTCGTGAACCTGTTCTGTGTGTAATCGGTGCTATTTCGGTCTTTCCAGGATATCCAAATCCTCCCATGATATTACACAATTGCCCCTTAAAAATTACAAATTTAATTTAAATATGCTTCACATTTATTAACACATATTTTGGTATGGGGTATTTTTTAGACAAGAACATAGGTGATGCATGGGACTAGAAAAATATTCTGCATAAAAATATTCGTCCAAAAATATGAACCACAAATTTATATTGAATTTGTAATTTTTAAGGGAAAATTTGGTAATATTGTGGGAGGTTTTGGATATCGTGGAAAAACCGAAATAGCACGAGTACACCCAGAACAGATTCACAAGGTTATCAGGGAGTACGCCAGTCAAATCTGGTCAGCTAGGGACCCAGAATTTTGCGGATAAGGTGGGATATTCAGAATCACAACGCCCAAATTCATACTTCCCGTTTAATCATGGAGTTCTTAGCCAGGAAAAATGCCGGGAACTTGGCTTGGCCGGCTAGCAGTCCTGACCTAAATACCATGAAGAATTTTTGGGCCAACTTCTCGCGTCGGGTTGACCTCAATTTCGAACCAAAAAGGAATTATAGCAAATGATGCATGGCGGATGGGCAAACATCCCGCTGGAGACCCTTCAGCACTTCAACGACTCCATGAAGCGATGAATATTCGCGCTAATTCTAGCTAGGAAAGGTTTTACCGAATACTAGAATAAGTTTTAAAGGTAGTTAGCCCCTTCGAATTAACTTATCAAATAATTAAATTTCAAAAAAATGCCCTATCTCTTACTTTTAAGACAATCGAAATTGACTAATTTTGTAAGATTGCAGATAAATTTCTTGATTTAAGTCAAATGTCAATGAAACTTGGCATGAACTTGTAGCAATACCTGAGCTATAATATAATAAAACTTTGGGCTCCAGGACCAAGCTATTAAGAAATAGTAGAATTTTATAAAACTATCTCTTCATTTTGAGACAGAGCGTATTGATAGCAGAAAACGATAAGCAAAGGTTTAAAAAAATGTGTTATTTGAAGATTCAAGTAGTGCTAGGTTTTC